TGCCCCCCTGCATATGATCTTACCAGCTAAGTAGCTCAGAAGGTTCAGAGGGTGAGGTGCAGATGTCACAAGCCGCTTGGTTTTTCTCAGTAGTGTGGGCTGAGCATTCACATTCTGTTACTGTGCAGTTTTCCTCTGTCTGCTCTTCTTTGAATAATGAATTAGTCTTTCAGTCTGTAAAGGAACCCATGAGCACAAAACACAGGACTGTTTCCTTTCCACAGTCCTGTGAATTCTGAATCGTACTTCCTTGATGGAAAATGGCAGCTCTTCAAGAGGCTGGTGTGAGCATGCCAGTGAGGAGTGGCAAAAGGGTTTCCCCAACTCCAGGGTCCTGTGTTTCAGTGCTCCTTCTGCAGCTTATGAAATTTACCAAGTTACTGTTACTAAGCAACAGGAGTGCTACACCCTTGGAGACCATTGACATAATGGTTGGTTCCAGAATGCAAGATTGAACTAGAAGAACTGAGTGGCATGCAGTGCTTGCAAATGTTATATTTCAAATTATGTCAAAAGAAAAAGCATCTGGAGCTCATTAGATGCTGTTAGGTTTTAACATTGCCTTAACTGTCCATTTTGTCATCATTCATTTTACTTGGCTGTAGCAGAGCGAGAGATGCTTGTCTGTGTGTGTTAAAACTCAAAATGTCTGTGATACCATCCTTAGCACATGCCAGATGGGATAGATGTGGACACAGGAGGGAAGGCTCATTCAGTGGTGCACAGAGGGTATATGAGCTGCAATTTATCTATCTGTGCATATGTATCTATCTGTCACATCTACCTGCAATACCTATCTATCAGTGACCTTTCAAAAGTGCACTTGACTTGATATAATGATTTCCCTCTGGAGCACGTGGATGTATTGAAATTTGTCTCTATGACTGAGGTTATCAAGCTCAAGCTTTTAGTAACTGATCACAGTTTTTTCAAAATATCAGAAGGAAATCCAACTATGGAAGAGAAGAAGCTGAGTGGTTTGTTTAGGTATTATTCACAGGAGATGCAACATTGAGGCTTCTCTTGCTGATAATAGGTCCAAGATATTATTGTCATAAAGAGGCTGCTCATGTTAATGTACTTGTCTGATTCCAGGGTTGGAGATTTCACTCTGCTCACCTAAACAAATTTACTGGATTTATTTGATGTGTTTCTTCACGACCTGAAGTATGCAGCTTCTCCACAGTGGAGATGTTATCCTTTGTTTTAAGCACTGTGAATGCACTTGGTGCAAGCAGTGTTCCATAAATGAGGGAAGTTCCTTTCTCCCCCCCCTAGTGAATTCAAGGCACCCTGCCTCAAGGAGCCCTACTTCAATATGGCTTTTATTTTTTATTTTGAATTACATCTCGGTTCTTTAGCACAGATTAAGCATAATCAGAAGGTAGACTGGTACAGCCCAACAAGGAAGATGCTGTATATTTAGAATCAAGTAATCTAACCTAAAACTTTTCTGAGTTTGAGAGACTTGATTGTTTCACAAAGGAAAGCTGGTATTTCTTTTGAAGTCTTCTTTCCTCTGTTAATAGTGTGACTTGGACCTAAGTTGTGGCTTACCAAAAAGGACATTTTCCTTACAATATCTTTGGTAATTGCAAAGATTCTTAGAGAAAAGTTTGTTGAGGAGAGCTTTGGCACAGTTTTTTAGACTGTAGTCTGGAGGAAAGAAGGAAACAAAAAGGAAAATTAAAGCAGTTCTGTGAAATTTAAGAATCTATTAAAAGTTTATTGAAATTTTAGTATTAATTTTAGTAGGGCAAAATCTTATCCTTTGAGATTATCTCATCTGCAATGAATCTCCAGATGGGTTGAGGTCCACCTGTCTCTAGCAAATGGCACATTGGCTGTCATGAGGGTGAGATCATAGTCTGATGTTAATGGAAGAGGGATTAATAAATCACTTACGTATAAAGTAGCCAAAGGTGAATCATCATTAGTACACATCATGTTTACATTCTGCCATGGCTGGTGCCCAACAAATACCTTATAAATTAAGATATAGATAGATCTGTAGGTACTTCTCTTGAGTTCATATCATTTCACTCCCTCTGGAACTTTAGTTACTTATATTTATAAAGCACTTCAGTATCTTTTACAAATCAGCCTTTGATTATTTATTTATTTTTTAAATCACTGCAGTTGGATAGCTGACCTTCATCTACACTGAGCTTTTGCTGTGCTGTCTAGGGAGGTGTTGGCTGGAAAAATGCTAATTGATTATCAAGGAGAAGGTGGAAAAAGGCTTGAGCTGCCTGTAATGCAATTCTTGTTTTGAGACCCTGAGTCATCAGAGGAGAATGGAGAATTTCATATCTCTGGGGAGTAAGAGGGTGTACATCCTCTGAGACATCCATAACTTTTGCAGGGGAGAGACTACATTTAGCCTTGTTTAGTTTCATGACATGGTGAGCTTGACACCTTTTTGAGTTATGTAGTGGCTCCCAAAGTCAGCAGAGAGGATAATTTTGACCCTTGTATGGTCTTATTAGCTGTTTAGAGCTTGTGACAAGCAGGGCAAGTGTTTCACTAGGGTGTCACAAGTTGACCCATAAGTCAACATATGTGTATTTGCATAAAATCCACACAAGACTGGCCCAGTTTAGTCCTGTGTAAAGCATTTTATAATGCTCTCCCCTGCTTTCTAACTCAGCCAGAAATCCAAAATAAACCTAGATAGTTTTAGTGAGCAAGTATGTCCCTATGGAAAGGGAAGAACCTAACTTGATCGCTTTGTAACAAACAGCCTAATCCAACCACACTTCAAACAATGCCAGGAATCCTGATCCTGTTACACGCCTTTAAGATACCCTCTCTGAGTTCCAAATGTGTCTTGGAGGCCTTACAAAGGCCACTGGGGCAAAGCTCTGTGGAAAGTACATGGAGTGTGAAAAGACTTAATTTTAAAGGGTAAGTGTTCATGCTACCTCTTTTGTACTTTGGAGTTCCCACATTCATGAATCATGTGTTGCTCAAACTAGGGGTGCAACAAAACTAGTTAATAGAATTTCTTCTGATTTACACTGTGTAAATGGTATAATCTATTCTTTTTTTGGACAAAGAGTGAAGATCATCTTTTTCTGTACTGGACATGAACTCTACATCTTTGTGTGTACTGTTTTCCAGAAACACAGCCTGTAATTATTAGGTTTCATATGCTTAGCAGGAGAAATAAGTAAAGCTTAGGAGTTGTAGACCACATGCTAGAATTCATCCTGGCTTTCATGTTTATGGAAATCCTTCTCTCAGACACACACTTTTCTCTCAGGAGAGTCCTAAGCAAGGAATAAAATAATGTGTAAACCATAGTGTTTTTTCTTTATGTACACTATTAACTGGTCCAGGATTGGACAGGCACTAAAACAATTATTCATAAGTGTGAGAGGTGGTTGACAAGAATTCACTACTGCAAATTCAATAGAATTGTAATGATCATAGACCATTCTGTTGTTTTATTTAGATCTTTGAAGCTACTTTAAGCCTCGCTTTGGGTATTTCTAGTGTGATCCATTACAGGACACAGGAGTAAAAAACAGTAGCTAGTTATTCCTGCAGTAGTTTTATAATCTGTGCTGAACTGATTTCTTTATACTTCATGAAGTGAAATGTCCTGACTCTGAGCTATTACCTTAGGATTTGTTATACTCTTAAAGGGAAGAGCCGCTCTTAGCACCAGTATTTTATCATGTCTGTAAGTCTGTTTACTCTGGCAGATGAAAAGTTTCTTCAGTCTGTGTTTGGTTGGGACACAGTAGATTTTCCTCTTTGTAGAAGAAAATTGCGTTTGGATTTGTGCTGGAAGCAGTGTTGATAATTCAGGGATGATTTAGTTATTGTTGAGCAGTGTTTACACAGAGTCAAGGCCTTTTCTATCCCTCAAACTGTCCCTCCAGGACCATGAGGAGGCTTGGGGTGCATAAAATGTTGGGAGGGAACACAGCCAGGACAGCTGATCCCCAATGACCAAATGTGTGTTCCACAGCAAACTGTACCATACTCAGCATATAAACCTGTGGGAAAAAGAGGCAGGGACATTCTGAGTGATGATGTTTGTTTTCATAAGTCATGGTTACATGTGATGGAGCCATGGAGATGGCTCAATACTGGCCTGCCAACGGGAAGTAGCATGTGAATTCTTGTTTTGTTTCGCTTGTGTGTACATCCTATGCTTTATCTGTTAAACTATCTAAACCCACAAGTTTTCTCACTTTTCCTCCTGCAATTCCTTCATCTCTATGAAGGGAGTGTGCATAAGTGACTGTGTTGGGTTCATTTACCAGTAGGGGCTAAACCATGATAATCCAGTTGTCACTTGTCTCAATTTGGTCTCTAGATATTGACAAGAGCAAGTCCATGGTCTTCAAATACTTCAAATTCTGGTTCTGTGCAGTTGAAATGCAATTTTCCTTTCCTCAGAACCTTTGATTCTTTCTGATTTTCAAGTGAATTCCCCTGCTTTTAGCTGATCTGCGTTTTTTATTTAAAGTTTTAATAACAAATTGCATTTTGAGAACAAAAATGTGGAAAAAACATATTTATTACTTTAAAAAATATTAAAATTACAATGTGCTTTTTAAGATCTATGTTAGTTTTAAAGTGCTTTGTGCAACAACATTCTTTGATATGGAGACTGAGACTACTGCTTGTAAGCCAACATTTTCTGAATGCTTCAGAAAAGCATGAGCTTTTGAGAATAATGCTTCAGAATAGAAGCAGACAGGCTTAATGGTACCTGTCATTAGCACTCTATAGCTGTACAATGGCATGAGACTGGGAGTACAGACTGAGCAGTGTGGCTTAATTCAGAACAGCACTAACCTAAGCAATGACACTCTGATTTTGGAATTATTTGGTCAATGATGAAACTTCAGCCTTCTAGTGATGGTGTTCTCTCATTTCTGTGCAATGAGAGCAGGGGGCACAGGGAGCACAGATGTTAATGTGTTGACTTTCTCTTATTGTTCTGAAGTAGGCTGTTTCAATCAAATGTTTGTTCCATACAGGAAGCACTCAGGTGGGGAAAAGACAATGCTCCAGAAGTGGCAGGTAAGCTAAATCTTGGCTAAACATGATTAAGCAAAGAATTTCACCACACATATATGTCTGCACACAGGTACATGTGTGTGTACATATGTACCTCAAGGCCTAAGCTCTTCTCTCACTGCTTGGAGGTGAGGCTGTTGGCAGGAGGAGCACAGCATTTACATCTGGTTATTGCAGAGACTTTGCTCCTCCTGCTATAAAATATATGGTGCTACTGTCTGGCAGATTAAGTGTGATTTTTTGCACATTTTTAAATTAAGACAGGGAGAGCCACCTAGTTGAATACCTGTTCACGGATGATCAGTACATCTAAATCAATGCGCAGATGTGGAGACATGTTTACTTTTCTATAGCCCTGATCTTGGTGACTCAAAACAAATGAATAAATCCATACCTTCTTTCTTATATTTAGCACTTTGTGCAGCCTTTTCTGTATAGGCAATTGTCCAGGGTTTTCCAATATCCAGACTGCATGCATTTGGTTCTCTTTTAAATCAAGAAAAAATGCTCTGTTATGCAAATACACAGCATAAAAGCACTGCGTAATTATGGACAAATGCAAGTGGCCTGTCTGATGAAGAGGTCGAATGAAGGCAGGTTCTGCTGAGTGGATTGTTGTATAAGAGGTATTGTGTTGATTTGAATGGTAAAGGATGATTGATTTCACTATTTATGTAATTCTTGTCCTGGTGGACCTGGGAACTACAAGCCTGTGAGGGTGGTTTTGCATGTCTTTTTAGGGGCAGAGTCTGGAGATTTTAATGCTTGTTTCCTTTCCCTGCAGAAGAGGGAGATCAGCAACTTTGATTACCTCATGTACCTGAACACTTTGGCTGGCCGCAGCTACAATGATTACATGCAGTATCCTGTGTTTCCATGGGTCCTTGCTGACTACCACTCTGAGGTCAGTGCTGGCTGCAGAATTCCCTGCTTTCTATGGTAGCAACTGCACAAAAGACTAGTGAATTATGCCATTGAAGCAGAAGGGTCTAGACCAAGGGTTGAAAATTTGAAGTAGTTAGTTTGAACTGTACTGGTTCCATATAGATTAGCTTTATCTTCTAGCACACTGAGGATCATGTTTTGTGGATGAACATCCATTTAATACAGACCTAGTTAAGGACATGCTGCATCAGCTCAGCAGATAGGTATGGACAGATTTCTGTGAACACAGAGGAGGAGTTTTGGACAGAAAAGCCCTGAGAGCAATTTGCCAACCTGCCAGGTCCTTTGTGAAGTTCCAGAGGAGGGTAAACATGTGATCTTCTTGTATGAGTGAAACTTCCAACACAGCCTTCCCACCTCCCACTGTCACTGTGATAGTTGTGATGTCTAAGATCTTAAAATCTCCATCTCTGCTGGGTTTCTTTTTAGACTCTAAACCTCACTAATCCTCATACATTTCGGGACCTGTCAAAGCCCATGGGAGCACAGACTGTGGAGAGGAAACAAAAGTTCATCCAGCGCTTCAATGAAGTGGAAAAAAGTGAGGGTGAGTGTTTAAGGAGGCTAATAGACAACAGAGGCTTGAGTCTGTTCAGATCACCCAAAAACTTTCCAGAGCTATGGAAAATAAGGGAAACTCCATGCCATCAGAGCCTCTCTCACTGCTGTATACAAACTGACTGATAATTCAAAGAGAAATGTCTCCTGCTGGTACTGCCTTATGTGCCTTGTACTGCTCCATTCTGTTCTCTTCCCTTGGACAGGAAAAAAAAGCTACAGCAAGAAGCAATGTTCCCTGTAAAAAACTGTGGTGTTAGCAAAGCTGCGCACATTGGTCTTATTTGTTAGCTAAGCTGCATGTAGAAGACTGCTGCACGCAGGTTAACTAGCCACTGCCTTAAGAAAAGGAAACAGAATTTTGAGGCTGTTGACCTCTGGAGATCAAGACCTTAAAGGCCTTATTCTTCAGAAAATGAAATGTGGAAGGGAAAAAATGAACATAGTTCAGTAGTAACTGTGCACATTCAGTGCAAGGTGTGCTGCAGCTCACAGGTCTTTGAACAAATCTGCTTCAAATACCTGTTGCCTATTTAGTTGTTTTGTGTAACTGGATGCTATGGGCTTGAAATTGTGGTATTTTGACCTGGAATCTGATTTGTGTGCAATTTCCAGGAGACCTGTCAGCCCAGTGCCATTACTGTACTCACTACTCATCAGCAATTATAGTGGCATCTTACCTGGTCCGAATGGAGCCATTTACCCAGACCTTCTGTTCTCTGCAGGTAAGGGGGAAAGATAACGTCCCTCCTACACCTTGTTATGAACCATGAGGTGCATTACTGTGGCCGTGTAATGAAGGGGGATTAGTTCTTCTAACATTTGATGTACTCTATATTTGGCCTTGGAGCCTGCGTGGGGCAACATTCATGCCATGAATGTTGAATACAGTGAAAACATCTTAAGGGAACCACGGTTGATTCTAGGGAGAAGGATTATTTAGTTTTGTGAGAGCTGAGTCATGTAAACAAATAGATAATGTTTTATTGCCTGTCTGGCCGTAAGCTTCTGACGTTGGGGCAGATGAGACTTGGTATGATATTCTATAAGATGGCAGGTCTTCTAAGCCCAAGTACAGTCATGTGGCTACTGGCAAGTACTTGGAGTTTGCTGTGATGGCATAAAGAGCATTCCTGCACCAGGTGAGGACACATAGGTTCTGGTAGATGTGAAATGATAGGGATCATGGGATTCGTTTCCTGAAAAAGTGGGATGAGATTACATCCAGTGCTCCAGAAGGAATGTTTTGTATAGTCTTGTTCTGAACTTGTTATTGTTTATACAGTGCCAAGCTGGCTCTCACCATGGAATTGAAGTTAAGGAAATGGAACATTGTGTGTACCTTTCCCATCTGCCCAACTTAAAAGGGTACCAAATTTCCTGATTGCCCCTTTCAGCAGGCAGTTGGGAATGCTCAAGCAAATACACTTGGGCTGTAGCAGAGAGTTGTTACACTCTTTTCTGTAATGTGTTATGTTATAGCAGGGTCTACCAGAAGGACAGATCCTCCAAGATGTATTTTTTAAGGAGTATCTTGCTGAAATCTACCTATTCTTGTGGAGAAATACAGGAAGATAGCTTGGCCAGAATATTTCACACTTGGAGACTGTGTTATGCATAGTGAGGGATGGCCATGTCTCCTGCAGTTTTCTGAGTGCTTTGCTGTTGTGATTTGGGTTTTTTCAGTGAAGTAATACAAATAAAGTGCTGTGTTAATTAAGTAATAAGCCCTGTGATATCGGCTGTTACCAGCAGTAGTTGATGGGTTAGTGAACCACCTGAGGCAATGGTTGCCATCGCACTCTGTGAGCCATATGTTAGCTGCAGTCATGAATGACTGTGGAGCAGTTATTTCTTGTAAACAACAAAGGCCGCTGGATCTCCCTGGCACACTTTTCATGCATAATGAGTTTGCAGTCTGAGTGAATGCTTTGTGGCTGTGTTTGTGTGAGTCACAGGTAACCAGCAGTGTGAGGATAGTTATCTTCAAAGGCTACTGATATCTGAAACACGCAAAAATTTTTCTGGGTTAGGGTTAGTGGATCCACTAAAAGAAACTGTTAAACTCCTTCTGTTCTTATTCTTTTGCTTTTATGTTGGTGCATGTTCAGCTGAGCCCATCACTGTCATTTCCCCCAGGTGACTGGTCTTGTGGTAGTCAAGGAATTGCTAACTGTGAAATGCTGTTAAGAAAACAGCAGATCTGAGAACTCTATAATCAAGTCAATGTCAGGCTGCAAAAAAAGAATTCCCATACTTAAGCTCTCTGAAGGGTGCTGCTGCCTTTGGGAGCTGTGAAAGCTTCTCAGCATCTTAAAAAGTGAAAAAGCTACATTTATATCTCCAAGTGGACAGTCTGAATACATGGCAAGGACATGCAACAACTTGGGTTCACTCTCTGTAAAAAATTGATGTTGGCATACATCCTGTCTCTCAAGTCAAACAGTTGATTTTGCACCTGATCACAGAAGGAAGCAGTGGGGGAGCATTGCCTTCAGTAATGGGACTGTACAGGAGAAACCTTATTTCACTTTTTTTTTAAGCGTATTGAAATCTGATTCTGATAAAAGTTTGTATGTGCTGTGCATATTGTACCAGAATGGAGGTAAAATTAGCTTATCAAACACGTATTGGTTGCTACCTTCCACTTCATCTTGGTCAAGTACCTCCTGAGATTCTTTTCAAGAATTGGTCTCAGCACCACAAAAGAGCAGTAAAAGTTTCCATGTTTAGTGTCTTTATGGGAAAGGCATTCTAGGACGCCCTGCCCTCTATTGAGATTTTCTTTTGATCAACTCAGCTTCTTTATTACCTTTTATTCTTATACCACTCTTGCATTTAAGCTATCAGGTTGACTTTTCCTGACATCTCCCTCTCAAAAGTACTTACAGAGAGCAGGGTTTTTACTCTTGATGGTGTTGCTGACTCTCAAGCAGCCATTTAAGCACTACAAGCAGGTAACAATTTCTCAGCATCTCATGTAGTAAGTCTTTACTTCATAAGCAACTCTTAGAAACACTGAGGTCTTTGGGTCTAGAGCACCACCAAGGTGACTTAGTGTTACAAATTTGTGAAGTTCTGACTTCTCTCTAGAGATCATTTTGCTTACTTGCTTTGTATTTACCCTGCTGGACTGTAGTTTTAAAAAGCATATTTTTCCAATATTTTTGCTGGCAGTAAGGCCTCTACTGAAAGGAAGGAAAACAGAGACCTACTGTATCTAGCTGTAGAAAAGTCGTAAGAGTTCATTGTCTTGCAATCTAAAAGCATAAAGCAATTCTTGATTCTCTTTTTCCCTTTCAGTGCAGTTTTTGCATTCATAGAGAGAGAAAACTCATTAATTCTGATATAAATATATGCAAATAAATTTATTAATATAGGAAATGGGAAAATCAGTTATTGCTTCCTTTATAAATAATACAGGCTTAAGTTTTAAAGATATTACTTTTCCCTAAAATGAATTAGACAGCCAGGGAAAAAATCACATTTTTTCGTGGTGGTAATATCTTTAACCAGATTTGTTGCGCTAACAGCATTTCCTATGTATATATTATTTTTATTTAATACAGGTAATCTTTTTATTACAAATCATATTGTTTCTCAGGAGATTACCACCAGCTCTCATAAAAGCTGCAAAAAAAGATGAAAAAGCATCAATCACCACCAGACACAGCACACTGTGTGCAGATTAAATATACAAAGCCCTTTAATATGCTTCAATGAGATACTTGTTAGCTGTTGATTTATTTATAGTCCTCCTTCTACTCTGTTTTAATTTCAATTTGAATTTGACTCCAAGGGTCCCTGCCTAATAATGATCAAGAGCAAGATGACCTTGTGCATCAGATTAACTCCAGATAGGCTTGCTCATGTGATTAGCCACTTTTTCACTCTGTCCCTTGAATGGGTGTGGGAAGGCTTCACAATTGCCACTGGTATAAGGAAGAAGGACAAGGAGCTAAAGCAGAACTATGCTGTCATTTAGCGATGAGGTTGGACCAGAAGCCTGACCAGAATTCTCCTTAAGGGAAAGAGGGGTGGGATCTTTCCATCTGGAATATGTGTTAAATTTTGGTGTGAGTCTATCTCAAAAGACAAGCAAGGAATGGCGCTTCAGCACTTGGGGTTTTTTGACTACTGTCTTCCGATAACTTATTCATGAAGGAATTTTCTCCCTAAAAAAAGATATGGCAAAAATTACTTCTTGACTTGCAGTTGCCAGACTGAGCAAAGCAGATCTAAAGGAGTTGCAACCTAAGTGTGCAAGTACTCAGGGGGAGCCAAAAGTGGTTCTTACCATTAGAAACCCATGTGGGAACTGCTGCTGAGGTTCATCTGATTCATGGGAGTGGGATCCCATCCTCAAATCATGAGTGCTTAAATGTTGTTTACCTGTGTAATAGATTGCAAGTCAAAACTGCAGCTGATGGTTACTGTGGAGAAGTACAGCATCCTCCTCACCTGGCACATGCAACAGTCTACAGGCAGAGAATAAACTAACTGAAGGTTTTTGAAGGTTTTTGACCAAGAGGTCAGCCACAGACAGAACCTCATTGCATCTTACATCTTTAACAGATTGACTCTTGCACCTCTGTGTTTTAGTGTCTTCATTATACAATCCCACTGGTTTGTTCTTTTTGCCTAAGGAAGCAGCTTTAAGGATTGAATGGTTGAGGGTGAGCAATCATTCATACATGTTCACTGTACTGCAAACTATTTAAAGGTACTCATTCTATCTCTGACAATCTCTCTTGAGCCCTGGTAGTGGGCTTTAGAGTTATGTCCCATGACATATAATCCAAATTAATTAACCCCAATGAGAAATATCTATATTAGCCTGGGAGCACTGCTGCCAGCACCTGAACTAGGTATTGAGAAACAATCCAGTTCTGTTACTTTAATGCAGTTAAAAAGTCAGCTTTCCTCTAAAACCGTTTGGTGTTTCTGACAAAGTGGTTCAGGTTATCTCCAAAACCTGATTTTTCTTTGGTTATTTCCATTATTATAAAAAAATTATATAACATTAAATTCTTCCTTACTCCATATAGGGTTCCATATGTAAAGGTAAACCTGAATTTTCACAAATGCATACAGTATCTGAAATCCCATTAGGAAATCCTGTAGGAAAAATGGTTTCACTAGAAAGCATATATCCTTCATTCAGTAAGTGACTTTTATTTTAATTTCTCCTGGAGGCCTTAGTTCAGAATGATGTCCTGGGATACTAAGGCCGCTTTTTTCTAGTGTTGGACTCTCATTAATCTAAACTTGTTCAAATATTCTTAAGATTTGAGGTAGTTTTTCATCTCCTTCATTACTTACCAGTTCAGCTTGGATCCCAGAAATTCTTTTTGTCTCCTCTCTGTATGCTGTCCTTCCTTCCTGTACAGAATGACAAGTCCCTGCACACTCCTATGCACTGAGCCTTTCCTGTTTTCCTGGATCTAATTAATGTCATTTCAGTGGTAACCTCCCCTTCTCCAAGGAATTTTTTCACAGGAGAAATTGCACATAAGATTGTTCACAACTGTTTGGGTCCTTCACAAGTGAATTGGTCCATTGCTTGTAAATCACTCTGGAATTAAATAAAATAATTGCTTTCAGAAGCATTAAAAATAGTCATGGGGATATTCTCAAGCTGCCTATGATGGCTCCTGTTTGCCTCTGTTATTGCAGGCTGCTGAGACTCCAAGCTTTGTGGCCTCTCAACAAGGATATCTACAAATCAGGACTAAGGTAGCTCCTAACAAGACCACAGTATATGGAGCTGATCTTGAGTCATCCCCTTATCAATCATGTGATAAGGGGCATTGCAAAATTGGCTAAAATGTTTTTAATTTAAGATTACTCACACTGAAGTCTTTTTTGTCTGTCTCCATTTCACAGGGTGGGAGTTTTGATGTTGCAGACCGAATGTTTCATAGTGTCAAGAGCACGTGGGAATCAGCATCAAGGGACAACATGAGTGACGTTAGGGAGCTCATCCCTGAATTCTTTTATTTGCCAGAGTTCCTAACAAATTCAAATCACTTTGAACTTGGTGAGTTCTAGAAGGGAAATAAGCATTCCTTCCAGCATCCTACCAAAAGGACAGATCCTGATCATACGTTGAGAGTCCAGAGACTCTGTGGATGAGTCTTTCTAACAATGAGATCAATTTTTATTCGAATAACACTACAAGAATGCAAGATTCTGAAAACTGAATTATGTCAGAAGAACCAAGTGTCCATCCCAGGAAGAAGCAAGTAGTTCCTATTAATTTCTGGGCAAAAGAATTATACGTAATGGAGTTTTGTATAAACAATCTAGTTGACTTGCTTTTGAAAGTTTGGCCTGTATTATCACATCTGTAACTATTGAAAATGTATTATTCTTTTGGAGATGTGCCAATTGTTAAATGGTGAAAGGTGGTTTTATTTTTGTTTTTTAATCTGCATGAGATCACAAGGTGATTAGTTTCCAAACCTCCTCACTCTCCTCTTCAAAGGTTCTGCACAACTCACATGAACTTGATATATTTTCCCTGTCCTCAAGAAGCATCACAGTCTCCTCTGAATGTACACTGTCTTTAGACCTTTCTGCATCCATGATGAAGGCTCAGAGAGAATCCAGAAAAAACGTTTTTCAGAATTAGGCAAGGCAGTTCTGATTCACTTCACTTTACAGGACTTTCACACCATTTGCAATGCAAAGCTGCTTTCTTTAATAGACACTGCTTGGTTAACAATTAATGCAGAGGAGAAATACCTGAAGAATCAGCCTGAATTTGTGACAGCAAAGGCAACTTAACCCATTGAAATCTGGCTATAATTGTATTTAAGGTATCAGTGAAATGAGGCATGCTAAAATATAATAATGTTTATATTTATGTATTTATATATAAGAATAAGGAAAAAAAAGCTGTTAGAAGTTTGTTAAAACATAAGAAAGAGTTAGGGCAGTTTCCTCCTGAGAGGAGGCCAAGAAACAAAGCCTGGCTGAAATCAAGATGCAGAGACTGACCTGAGTGGAATTGAGTGGGGGTGCCCCAAAAGGCACCAGAATCTTGCCACTAGAGAATACAGGAAGATTTTAAAATAGGCAAAGCCAAGAACCCAAATCTGCTTGCTGCTAAATTGTAGGGAAACTTATGGTCCAGACCTGAACCTCAATTTAGACTTGAATTCATCCAGTTGCACAGCACTATGCTCTGAATTAAGAACATATGCTCACCTTCTGAAAGGAATCAGGTTGCAAAGGACTTAAGAAGAAAATCCCTCTCAGTGGCTGCTTTCGTAGGAATATTTGGCAGTTAGGCCCATAGGATTATGTATAAAAAGAAAGTTGTGCAAACACATTTGTCTTGTCTGCATTTGCAATCTGTACTAAAATGGCTTGTGCTGAGGACATGCATATTTTTCCTGTGTTAGTGACAATTACTAGAACATCTTCTCACTGCTTTATTACTGGATCAGAATTCCTAGAACACTGGTTCTTCAGTCTTCTCTGGCACTAAGTCTGATTAACCTGAAACTTCATGTGGGAAAATCACCTCAATTTCCTTTGACTTCAGTGTTTTATAAAATTGTTCCTATTTTCAATATGTCTGATTCTTGTTTTGGATTCTCCCTCTGTAATTCCTGCAGGCTGCATGCAGGATGGAACAGTGCTCGGAGATGTGCAGCTTCCTCCTTGGGCAGATGGGGACCCCAATAAATTCATTCTTCTGCACAGACAGGTCAGTGAATATAAAGATTTGTGACAAAATGCTACCTGGGTCCCACTGAAAATGAAGCTCTGAGGGCCAGAGTCACAAATGAAAATGTTGGATCCAAATGCATCCTGCCTTTGTGAAGTTTGTGTTGGTTCTGAACTTTGCATGTCTGCTTCTCTGCCTAACAATTCACCTTGATCAAGGCAAACTTTCCCAACCAAATGTGGATTACACATAGGTTTGTGGCATGAACACATCTCAGCCCACAAATGTAAGAGAACATAATATAGTGCACAGGAATTTGTATGCATATAGGTCCATGTTGTTGCTAACAATCTTATTTAAATTATTTATTTCCATCTCTGAGTCATGTCAGAACTGAAGTTTGTGGGTTTTTTATTTTTGGGGGTTGGGATGGGGGAAACCTAATGTAATTTTCTGCCCTTAATGGAGTCAGCCTTGGCAGTTAGAAAGCAAATAGCTCTAAGGTCCCAAGACTTACTGCAATTAGTGCTATTAATAGTTAGAAAGTCTTCCATGTGATGTAATCTGCTACATAAAAGTGAATGCGAGTGCAATTCTGTATGAAGATTGTTGCATTGAACTCAGACTTTGCAGCATAATATCTTGATGCAGGTCTATCTAGTGCTCCTGCACTATCCCATCTGATTTCCTCAGGTGAGTTGCATGTGTGAGTGCACACAGACTGTTGCTGTGATGCTTTGTACAGCTGTGATGAATATATGTGTTATATAGTATTGGTGGGGCTAAACAAACAGCCCAGGATTTTCAAGGCATTGCATTATCCTGGTTTGTTGCTTCAGTTTTTGCCTCAGTGGATTCTTCTCACCTCTCCTCTGCAGGTCCTGCCCTTGGGATTTCAACTTTCTCTCTTGATAATCACTTTATAGGTGATCATATACAAACTGTGGATACAACCATCTTTTCTATTTTGGTATCTCCAAATAAGCCTCTCCTCAGCTGACCTCTCCAAATGCTGGCTTAAATCCTCTGATCTCCTTACTACCCTAACTACTGCTTCTTCTTTAGAACAAAACCAGGGTCATACTCTTATTTTGTAAATACTTTTCTTCACTGTTCTCTGAACCATTAACAGCAACCACAATGTTTCCACTAAGTTACCATTACTTTTATGGAATCATAAAATGTTTTGGGTTGCAAGGGGCCTTAAAGATCTCCTAGTTCCAACCCCTCTGCCATGGGTAAGGGCACCTTTCACTAGACCAGGTTGCTCAAAGCCTCCTCCAACCTGATCCTGAATATTTTCAGGAATGGGGCTTCCACAACTTTCTCTGGGCAACCTGTTCTAAATTCTAAGCACCCTCACAGCGGGCAATCCCTTCCTAATATCTAATGTAAATCTGCCCTCTCTGTTTAAAGCCATTCCCCCTTTTTCTGTCACTACATTCCCCTGTAAAAAGTTCCTCGGACTTTCTTGTAGGCCTCCCCTTAGGTACTGGAAGGTTCCTGATGCCTCAAATTCTTTGGCTTGTGAATGACTGAATATGAGAGAGAGCCAGTTCAACTCTGGTTTCATTCACACACACTCAGGTTACTCCTGTGAGTGAACATGGATATGATCTGAGCCTGTGCTTGCCTACTTTTGATTTGTGCAGTAATACTGCCTTTGTTTGTTTTGTTCTTTTTTTTTATGACTGTTGCTTATATAGTGTGACTGTTGATTATGTAGTGAGATTTTGCATCTTTTCATAGAAGAGATTAAGAGGCTCTCTTTAGTTTCTATTTTGAATTTATGACTTGAACCCTTCACTCTAAATCTGTGTCAGAACAATAATGCTAAAAAATATTTAAAGGAAGTTAAATTTTTATCTTTCTGCTTTACCTATTTTGAAATGGATAACTCTTGTTATGAAATTTCAGCCATTTTGAAAATGCAGTTATCTACCAGAACTTTTTTGCCAGAGAACTTAAATGGTTGTTAAAAGTCATGTTCACAATGCTTAATTTCCTGTGCATACACAATAATAGGTATTACTGAGACAGACATCTCTGAATCTGTAGAGAGTGACTTAGAGACTCAGAGCTCTGTTCACACTGAAAGATGATGGAAGGGAAGAGAGACCTGAGCTTTTGTCAATGCCCATAACCACATAATGATACACTTACTAGGAGGAAGGAGATCCTCATCTAAGTTTTGTGTGCACTGTAAATTTGCTGCTGGAAGTGCAGTCCTTGCTAAAATGAAGAGTTGAGTCCAGTGAATCTAGTTGAGTCGAGTTCTATCTCCTACCTATTGCAAATTGGTTTTGGCCATTGAGGTCAAATATGCAACAGTTCCCTCATATTCCTCAGTGGCTCCATGGAAGGCATGCTCTTTTTGTGGTCTTTCTGAAGTGTTCAGTCTTTGTTTTCCAGTTCCCCAAATATTGGAAAGGCAACACTGTCCTTCCCTACCAGCTGTGCTGCAGACAAAAAGCCACGTCTCAAAGCTTTGACTTTGAGCTGACTCAAAGATGCTGTGACTTTACATGATGCTTTTTAAAGAAAAAAATGAGACATCCTGTCTATTCTATTGTGGTTTGTTTGGAGTGTAAACTACTGAGCTTCTTACTGCTTGTGTAATGGTGAGCACTCCACAGGCACTTGGATACAATGGGGAAATCTGCTTTTGCCTTGTGCTTTAGAGTAATGGTGCAGTTTGGAAATGAAACTGCAGTCATCCCTGCATAGCATGGATTTGCTGGCACTGTAGAATGATCTCAGATTGTGTTAACTAGATTTGTTTTGGAGGAAATTAAAGAAAAGCCGCACTCCAGTTTGTGTGCTCCCAATGATGGTAGTATTCAGCCTCCAGGAGCTGCATTTAGTTGGAAGTAAAGCCTCCAGAGTGCATTTAATCTGGATGCTGGGTGCTCTCTACCATTTGTCTACAGAACTGCTTCCACTGGGCTGCACTATTTACTAACATTGGCACAGCTTATAAATTAATTTAAATATCAAATAGGAACAGCTTAGCAAATGAAAGATCATGTTTATAGACTTGTGTTCTTAATAATTTGCCACACATGATCAGATTTCCTGTACAGTCAGTGCAATATTATCTCTTCAACCTAGCTGATACTAGGTACTGCACAGGGGAATGCAAGGAATCTTAGTTAACCTGCCTGAAGTGAAGAGTCAGAGATCTTGAATTCTGAAAAATGAGGGTTCTTTGTCCTGTGAAATCATCCACAAGGCTGGAGGTACTGATTACTGGAATTTTGGCCATTTTTAGGAGGCTTCACAATGAGTTTAGTACACAAAACAGATTGAGGTTGACACTGTTCTGAGGTTTCACTAATGCTTTCAACAACATGAGAGCAAAGCATTGTTTGTGACATAAAACTCTGAACAGCTTCCTGTTTCATGCTTAATGAGTTAGGAATCTAGTACACTAAATGAATGTATTTACTTCCTCCTAAAGCACAAGTTCTCCCTCCCTGGCTGGGCTTGCCATAGTGCTCAGTGAAATACTGAGAGGCTGCACAGTTACAGCTGTGCTAGTTACTTTGTTTTGCTTTGGCAGGAATGCCAGTCAAAATTTACAGTTTGCAATTCATGGACTAACTGCTTTTATTAATAAGAATGAGTTCTGAGTCTGTTCAGGGACAGTTTGCACACTGTGCTTGTTCTGTGAGCTGCCCTGTGATCATTATTATAGCTGTGGGCAGGGTCATTTACACCAGCTGCACTGGGCAACTGTCTGCTCTGTGAAATGAGCCATTGTTCTGGATCCCATTAGTTTGTTTATTTCTGCTGTGCTTTGGGTGGGCTGGTCTGCTTGGAAGACCTTTCACTGAACATCAGGGATTACTCAGTCAAATGATTCGGAGATAGGAAAGTGCTTTTAATAATGCTTGACACTGCTGCTTGAATCACTGGGAATGCACAAAAATTTGATTAGGTAGGTGATGCCAGGAGCAGCAATATTTAGTGAAACCTCATGGGTTAGACTGGCTAGCCTGGTGGTGGGCACAGGTTCAGCTTGAAGGTGTATCCCCTGCTTACGAACTTTCTGTCTGGGTCCTCCAAGCACAAGTTTTCCTCTGTGATTGCATTGAGCTTTCTTTGGAGCCCACATTTATGTGGTTATATTACCTTGTAGCATCTCTTATAGTCATCTCCAATAGTAATTGTTCATTCTGGTCCTATTAATCCATGTGCCAATCACTGTGGGTGCCAAGATCTGTGGAATGCTTTCATATAGCTTTGTGGAACCTACCTGTTTTGTGTCTGAGGATATTGCTCTTGGTGTCTGTTAAGTCAAACATGTGGCACTGTCCTGTTTCCTCTGGGGGTACAATTTAGTCTCTTCTAGTGTTTTTTGAGGATGTGCTGAGAATGGTGGTACTGGAGGAACTGAAAGTGCAATGGTTGACTTGTAGTGAATTCATCTTCAGCAAGGATTGGAAAGCAGTAATGCATTTCTATTAGATACAGTCAGGTGAATTAAGTCACTTTGTTTTGGTTTCAGGCACTGGAAAGTGACTATGTCAGTGCACACCTTCATCGCTGGATAGACCTTATTTTTGGCCACAAGCAGCATGGCTCAGCTGCAGTGGAGGCAGTTAACACCTATCACCCTTACTTCTATGGAGACAAGATGGACCTCAACAACGTTAAGGATCCTCTGATTAAGAGCACTATCCTGGGATTTATCAGCAACTTTGGACAGATACCAAAGCAGGTACCACTGTATCATGAGAGTAGGGAACATAATAATGTTGACCTTACAGTATAAGGTCATAATACCTTACATAATCTTGACCTTACAGTGTTTTAATTGGAAACCAGTAATAGTAACTTAAATCAGAAACATCTTCTGGTTTAAATCTGCTGAAAGATGAGCTATAGGCTTTTCCAGATTCTCTACATCAGTATGCATTCCCACTTTGTAACCACACTGCTCCTGCTATATGCCATAGAGCTGCAGCATCAGCTCTGGGTTCTGCTCCTTCAGTACAGTCACACAGGTCATCACTAGTCTGGGAATGGGTATAGTCAACTAAAACTCAGCTCTAAGTCTCACCTGTGCTTTTCTTTCTTATCCAGAATTGCTGGGATTAGCTTTCTGTCTCTCTGAGGGAGGGAGGTGGTCTGATGAAAACATAGTATGAGTAAGATTTTATTTTAATTAAGAGGTTCATGTATGGTGGTCCTGGAGTCTGTGATTAAGAACTTAAACAGGTATTTCTCCTGCATGGTCTTGCAAATAAAGAATTATTTTTCAATGACATTCCTTCTGTTCTAGCTCTTCACAAAACCACATCCATCTAGGAATGCTCAAGGGAAAAGTTCAGCAGGAAGAGAGACTGGGCTGTTCCTTCACTCAAGTGGAATTCTTCCTCCTTTTGTGAGCAATCTGCAAAATCTGAAGCTCTCACCAGTTACCATAAAAGGTGCTGTGGGGGCTGTGTTCCATTTTCTGAGCTAACAAATACACAATTGTTGGACAATATGAATCTGGATTTTCAAGATCACAGAAGTAGTCAGCTTTGTATGAGTTGGTTCAACCAAGAGCCCTTCTAGCAATTGTGATTTTTGTATCTTTGTGCTAGGAGTGGGTACTGAAAACTTCTTCAAACCTCTACTGTAGAGTGTGGAACATTTCTTTTTTCTAAGATGTCACCCTCTCCATGTGGATTTATGCAGTCCACTGGAGAGGAGTGTTTCCATTATTGTGTGTGGTATCTCAATTTCAGAGTGGATTTCTGTCTGTGGGCCTGGCCACAGCACTGAGCCCAGATGTGAGACTTGCCAGCCTCACCACACAAGCTGTGCAAGGAGAAAAGTTAACATAAGTGCTATAAACCAAACAGAATTAAATACTTCCGCTGTCTTTCCAGACTATCCCAAGGGAGCTATTGGGCACATTGTTCATACAGAGAAAGGCATTCTGGCCGTAGAAAAAAATAAAATTATGATTCCTCCTCTTTGGAGCAAAACATTCTGCTGGGGATTTGAGGACTTCACCTGCTCCTTTGGCAACTATGGATCTGAGAAGGTAAATAAGGAAAATTATTAATTCAAGAAATTAATGATATGTTGTGGTCTTGACTGGTTTGGGCACCCATTTCAGAGGCTGTTGGAGAGCTGATTTCAGATGATGCCTTACAGACCTTTCTCACAGTCAAGCTTCTTGAGGAGTCTCAAGTTGGATATCCAAGATGATATAAAATGATTTTACACTGCTAGAAAACGTGGCATTTGCCTCTAAATTATCTCAAGTTTTCTATCCAGTGATTGTGTTGTCCATAGGTTGTAAGGACAACACAAGGTCTTCTGGTCACTTATTAGAAATTTCAGTGTACAGAAATTTCTGCTGGAATAAAGGCAGAACCATCTGTTAATTCCCCTCTGGCTCCAGCATAGTCCAGTGCATTCATTCAAAATAATGAAGTTAATACTGTTACTTCTTTGCTGTTAAAAATAAATGGTCTGTATCATCACACTGCTTGTTAGGGCACTTGACAGATCTAGTTTCTTCCCCTGCCATAAACACACTGATTTTTGGGTGTATTTGGGACACTGTTATGCAAAGAATTCTGAGTTAGCTTAGGTATCAGAATAGCATAGCACATAATTCAGCAAGATACTGACTTGGATATTTGTGCAAGTGGCATTCATTATGTTTTTACAGACGTACCCAAAGTCAATGGAAATGAAAAAGCCATGAGATATATTTTAATTTCTGCTCCCTGTCTAATAAAATCAATGCTTAGCAATTCATAGTGTTGCTGCAGGCATCAATTATTCAGTTTGTCACTTCAAAACTCAGGGTGACGCTGAGCATAGTGAGCGTGATTACACAGTCATTATGAGTAATAGTTGTGAGTCCAGCTTGAATTTTCTCTGAGTCAACAGTACTGGCAGACATGAGCTTATAAGAAACTTTAGTCTTTGTTGTAAGTAGGTAAAGATTTGTTCTGTCTGTGGTAGGGGTTTCGTAGCTGTGCTATCCAGCTCCATCAGAATCATTGGCACCAGAGTGTGTGGAGGAGAACTAATGTAGAATGTGCAGGAGGATGCTTGTGCTGTAATTGTAGCAGTGTGTAATAGACCTAACACTGCTTTAGACTGATTTGGGTGCTGCCAGCAGAGCACAGAATGGAATTTAGTGCTTTGGCTTTTGGTTTTTTAGTACAAATAAGGGAGGGTTTCAGGGCTTGGCAGTAACTATGTTAGCAGTGGCCATCACTACCTGAGACTTCTTTTTAATCTACATGGAACGTTTGCCTTCTGTTACAATATGGTGGCAGAATGAGCTTTCTGAAGTTGTGTAAGAAGTGTGGCACAAAAGGAATTTGGGCCAGGATTTCCTAAGACATAAGACTGAGCTTTGTTCAGCATTCCTGTTTGTCCCCTGGGAGGTAGCACAGCTTCATGCAGCCACAGCCTGTGCATGTCCATATGTTCACAGCTGTGCTCGCATAGAGACTGATTATGATGAGCTTTTCTTTCTTAGATTTAAAAAATTAAAGGTAAGTTTTGAAAGTGGACTCTGTCATTTGGTAATGGTAAATACATGGTATCACCAGATGAGCATTTGACTTAAAGATGCTTTCTTGTACAGAATGTGACTACATTTGAGTGCATGGCAGACTGGGGAAAGTGCCTCTGTGCAGTGTGTCCTTCAGCAACTACCATAATCACATCTGGAACGAGCTCAGTTGTGTGTGTCTGGGAATTCACCCTGGTCAAGGATAAAGTGAAATGCCTAAACCTGAGACAGGTAAGTAATGTGGCTCCTCTGCTATGGAAACATAATGAAACCCAGAAGATAAGATTTTTAGCTAAAAGGTTTTTAGCTCTCAACCTTTGTTGAATAAGAAGGAATAAGAAGGCAGGAAAAATGCAGTAATAAGCAGTATCATGTGACAATCAGGGCAGGACCTGATAATATTCCTTATACCAACAGCTCATAGCTATAAGTGACACATGGTGGATTTTTTTCCCTTTAGTAGAATTTTCAAAGTTCATCATGATAAAAGAAATAATCAAGATAAGGCATATTCTCCTCTCTTGAAGTGCAGCCCTTGAGTTATTTTCAAAACCAAGTATCACCTGGAGATGCTTATGATTTGTTCTGGGCTGCTACAGCAATGGACAGGATCTGTAGAACATCCTGCAAACTTAGCTGGTGGCTCAGCCAGGCAAAGTTCTTGATTATTTTTTCTTAGCCTGAATTCAGAACATAAAAGGTTTATCTGTCACTCCTCACTCTGTGAGGGAGGATGCATCCAGTAAGAATGCTATAGTTTCTGTGCTCGTTATCCAAAGCCCTTTAGTGGTTGTTGATTTAGAGCTCATCTATAGTCATTGAACACCTGTATCCATGCTATTTCATTTACAAAATTGAATTTGTTTGATACAGCTATGGTGGGTTCTCAGCTTTACAAGTAGAACTAGAGTACACCACTATCCTATCTGAAAGGCAGCATGGGGCCCCTCTTCTCTAAAGAAATTAAGAGACTTGATTAAAAAATTCTGCTGCTTTTAGGCAGACAAAGGGTTCATTGATCACCAAGATCTCCAAGTGTTAGAAGCTTCTTCTGTTTGTTTGTTCTGGAGGGGTATTCAGGTGATATTTCAGTGTTCTTCATACCTTAAGCCAAAACTTAAGGTATGAAGGTATTTTATTTGTCCTTAAATGAAGTGAAAACTTCATTGTCTGCTGGGATGTCAGAGAAGTATTTAGATCTTCATTTATCAGAAATTTGTTGGAATTGCTATTGAAATTAACAGGGGAAAGTGTTTTAGATCAGCCTCTCTTTTGAGTTTTATGATGTTTAATGCTGTAGAGGACAGAAATACAAAAAAGATCTGATGACTGTTTAATCCAGCTGGTTATTATTCCAAAGGAGGACATGAACATAGAAATGGAAGAAGTAGCAGTAGAAAAAAGCATAATAATTTTCATAATAATAATAATTTTCATCAGCATCTAAACAATACCAGTCAGGGGGTCAGTCTTGAGTTTCAAACAACCAAGAAGGCTGTCTTTTATCTGCATTATATTGTCTTTAACAATCCAAAATCAGCTTTGCTGATGTGTTCCACTGTGATTAATTCAGTATTACCCAAAATCCACAAAGTGGTATGAGATCATGCAATAACAAATTCTGTATTTTTTCCTTTACATTGCTAGTGGAGGCTTTTTTTCTTTTAATGACTGTCTGGACTGGATGTTAACTTGAACTATGGTTCTAAATGTCTTCCAGTGAATTATTTTCTGCTTTCATGTAATTCACTGTTTCATGGTGGGTTTTTTTTCTGCTGAACAAAAAAATTTCCTGAGAGTGAGCTTTGCTTAAGAGTAGCTTATGTGCTATAAAGGGGATGCTATTCACTTACCAGCTGTCTCATGGGACTGACACATTCTGGTTTGGAATGTAGGAAAGTACAGAAACTATATTTCTGCAGAAAAAGTAGCTTTTGCCTCTCTAGCGGGATCTGCTTCCATATTTTTGCAGAACACTAAAGATTGAGCGTAATTGCCTCAGTATTGATCCATTAAATTTACTAGCAGAGGGATCTGTGTGATCCAGTTTTCAGAATTTCTAGGCCAAATGAAACACTTGAGCGAGATGTGCTCTCTGCCTCACAGACCTCTCAGGAAGGTATGGAGCATATCTGTCAAGTGTCTATCTCCTTGTCAGCCAGTTAAGTTGAGTGGTCAAACTTGGTTTAGGTTTTCATGGACTTAACATTTCTGCAGTGAAGCTGGCCTTTTTTTGATATTTCTTAAAATACCTTGGAGACAGGCCTTCAGATCTTTATGCAAATATGCTGCAGGATATTTTTTCCCATTAAGGAAAAATTGGTCAGTCTTTGCAGAGTGATAATGAAAAGATGTAGGGAGCCAAAAGCTTGAGACATTTTTGCATGAATGTGCATTGATACTGCTGGGTTGAAGCTGATACTGCAATTATGTGCAGGTCTATCCCTCTCTTCCACACTCAGCTTGTATTTAAAGTGTTTTTCTGCCAAGTAGGATCTTCATGGGTTAAAATAAAAGAGAAAAAATGTTTTAGTGAAACTTTTGCAGGAGTTTAGCTTGGCTTGATTTGGCAGTTTGGATGCCTTCACACTGTATATGTTTTCTTTTATGCTTTGGAGAAAGGAGAGGAAATTTTTGAGCCCTTTGAACCTGCCTTGTTCCAGCTTTTTTTTGCAGCAGTCTTGTGCAGTTCTCAAGTATGGGCACTTGATTATGCCCAGTCCTTTGTAAAAACAATGTTCCACAGCCAGTCCAAAGTGATCACTGCGCCTTCTTTTCTGTGCTTAGATGAGAGCATTTCTGACTTCTGAAAACCACAGTTAGAGACCTAATTTTGTGCCAGTATTTACAGTCGACAGTTCTTGTGAATGGAATAAGTCCCAGGCTGAAAGTCATCCCTTGCAGTTGAGGGTCACCTTCAGTAATGCAGAGCCTGCTGGATCTCAGGTTCTTCATTTGTGGATTAGTGTTTGCTCTTTTCCTGGTGACCTGGCAAGTAGCAGCACATGTTAGCCAGCAAAAGTTCAGTCTCATGGTCCCATGCTGGAAAAGAGGATGAGGTGTGTCCGTAAAAGCCATCTGGTACATGTGTCTCCCCTGCTTCTAGCTGAACTGAGATAGAAGCTAGAAATGTGCTAATAATGCCATGGAAAGAAAGCCAGCAAGTAATATAAATTTCCTTTGAAAACCAAAAGATTGAACTGGTGGGTCTGATTTTTCACAGTAAGTTAGCTAAAAAATGAACCTTGAAAGGCTTTTTAGGAAATCTGTGAAGGACTTTTTCTCTGTTGCCCTGATAAAATTTACAGGTTCTGCTGCCATTTACTGTGGTTATGCAGGAAGAAGTGTACACTGCTGTCACTTGAGAGCATTGCACAAGACAATAGTTAGCAACATATATCAATCTGTGCCTTCTATCTGGGCAGTTAAATTGCCTGAAACATGTTACTTTTTTAAAGAAACTGTTTAAATAAAACTAAGTTTAACTGGGCACTCCTTATGTCTCTGAACCTATAAAAAAAAAACAACAAAAACGTTGTGTAATGATGAAAGAGAAAAGAATTCCTACGTGGCTTTAAAGCAAGAATTCTCCATAAATGCTGTCTCCTCTTAACCAGTATTAGAAGTGCATTAGTACTTGTTCATATACACAGAAAGATAAGACTGAGAAGGTTACTGAAATACATCTTGATAAACTGTACTTCAAAAAGTTTTTTAAATATTAAGGAATTTCCAAGCATAAATTCTAGTTAAAAATGCATGGACTGAAGTGAAAAAAATATTTATTTTTTTTTTCTTGATGAGCATAAAGCACTGTCCTAGAGTCTAAAGAGTAGGCCGAGGACCCTGAATCACTCTGTAATTTGGGCAAGTCATATAATCTCTTGGACCCTCAGCTTTCCTCAGCTATGATTTGAGGACAAGGATGTTTCTCTGTAATATCCTTTGGTACTTCCTCCTCATTCCCTCTTCAGTTCTCCAGAGAATGACTAGGTTGCTTGTTCTTACTAAGCAAATGAGGTAGGACCGTGATTCTCTAGTAAATCACCCAGCATCTACTGTGGTTTATTGGTTGTTTTTTCCCCACCAGGCTTTGTATGGACACACTCAAGCAGTGACCTGCCTTGCTGCATCTGTACCCTACAGCATCTTTGTGAGTGGATCCGATGACAGAACCTGCATCATCTGGGACCTGAACCAGCTGACGTTTATGAACCAGCTTCCTGCCCACGAGGAAAGCCTTGATTCTGTTGCCATCAACAATTCAACAGTAAGATCTTCATTTATCATCTTTGTCCTGATGCATCCATGAACATTTCATGATAATGTAATGGGTGCTTTTCCCAACATAAAAAACATCCTGAGAGTCTGATACATTGATTTTTTTTTTTCTTTCTACAGAGATTGCTAATAGTGTTCTTAATGATGAGAGGCAAGCACTAAAAGCAACATCTTAGACTGAGTAGCTAAGTAGAAGCATCTATGGATAGATAGATAGCAGGATTAAACAACTTTTAGTTTATGGAGCATGAAGTATTACCCTAGTGCTTCCTGTATTTGGCTCACCCATAACCTTGTTGCCCCTGTTATTTCATTAATTTCTTCTGACATTCATGCAGCAGAGACACGTAAGACTACAGTCTGCCAGCTCAGCTGACAACTGCATTACACTTTTCAGTGATAATGTTGGCTTTCTCCTTTCCTTTCTACTCTCAGGTGTGGGGAGAGCTCCTGATAGCAGTGGGTATAAATATGTTGAGGTCTGTGCCTGGCCAGAATTGCATGCATGTTGACAGGAAATTATTCTGTATTGGATTTTACTATAAACACTCTGGATGAGATTTTTTTTTTTTTTTTTCTCCCAACATTTTACCTCCCAAAAATCTTGCTTTCATATTTACTTTTTCTCTCTGCTAATATACTAGAACAGGGTTTCAGCAGCTCAGACAATTCAAGATTAAATCCAGTCCTGGATATTGTACAAAAGCAAAATTGAGTTCATAGCAGTAAGAAGCCAAGCAGATAGTCTCTACTTAGTCTGTGTCAAAACAGTCATCTCATATCAGAGCTTTATTAACCATGCAGTCTGATGGGTATCAGTTTGAGGGTGGGATTTAAGTTTTCTGTTCAGTTCCAGCTCAGCCCCCAGCCCTAGCAGGCCTGGTCAGTGTGAAGTGGCCAGCAGCCTCAGCAAGGCCAGTTCAGAATACCTTGGTGATCCCTATAAAGTGAGCTGAAGCAGTGCCAAGCATTCAGAAATGAGGGGGTGGGCTGGCACAGAGCTGCTCAAGATCCCAAGGGGACAGAGTCCTCTCTCTTCTGTACCAGCCACTACAGCAGCCTTTTCAGTCCATATCTGCTCTCCTGGAACTGTCCAAAAATGAGACAATCTGTGCCAGGAACAGTCTGGTGACTGATCCAAATGACTGATCTCCACTTTATTAGAGTGCAAATGGTTAAGCTGTTTGGATAATAGTATATCTAAAGGCTCATTTAATAGAGGAAAAACCTTAGAAAAGTATGACTGAAGCTTCAAGGAAAAAAAAAAAACGGTCCATTTCTTGTGGATGAAAAAATTCTTTTTGATGTTTGCAATACAGAGCACTTAATTCTGAAATGCAATTTTTGTTTAATGCTTCTTTATATATTTATGTAAACTACATGAGAATAGAAACAAAGTGTTTCCATTGTGCTAGGGTGTATTGATTGACAAAAAATTACATGATTGGTAGCAAGGGTTTTTCCCTGAAAAATTCAGAATGGTTCATAGCAAAGTTTTGAAGGAAAAGGAAAGAAAAAGGGAAAAAAAAGTCTGTAGAATAAGAACCATATACAGCCCTTCATTACGTGATGGTTGGAGTTGCTTGAGCATCTAGAAGTTCCATCTATAGATCCAAACCTCATGGTATTTGTGTAGTGTAGACACAAAATAAGAGCTGTCCCAAAAACTTCATATACTAAGGAGGATTGTAAGAGCTTGCTGTAACTAATTATTGCAGTTAGTTTTAAATTCCTGATTCAGACCTGAAAAGCACTGTAGATCATTGCCAAATGCCTGGATATCATGTACTCTCATGCAGATAAAGTAGCTGAAATTTAATCTCTTGAATTATTGGCAGCTCTGTTTTGAACATGCTATCATTTTTTATCTCCAGAATTCTGCCCAGCAGTGTGAAGAGGCCCTGGCCCCACATGAGGCAGGGGTGAAGTAAGGTGTTAGTTGACTTAAACCAGATGCATGCTGCTAATTTAAGGGCACACTGTCCTTTCTCAGAATCAGATGTCTTTGCTGATGAGGTTCTATTTAGCTGATTCTTAGAATGGATCAAGAGTAGAAAAGTTATGTAGATCAAAATACACTTTTGATTGGATCACTTACAATTGCAGCTTTGATTCTTGGTTCTGTGTGCTTCCCTAAAGACTCACTTGTGTATTTGCTCCTTATAAGCAGTCTCTGGTAAGGCTGCACCTGCATGGAATGGAGGGGTGAGGTGCTCTGCAAAGGATGTTTTCTGCATCACAAGTGCAGGTCACTGGATGCAGAGCTGGTCATTGGTCAGATGCAGAAAACGGTGTAGAAATGCGATGACAGTGAGCTCCCTGTGAGGGGCAGAGGAGGATTGTGAAATCACCAAAGGCTTCACAGCTAAGCAGGTGAACACCACGTCCTTGTTTCAGACTGCTTATTTGTAAAACTTAAAAAAGCACTTGTCCTAGCCCAGAACCTGTGCTAGGCACTGCTTGTGCACAGCCCCTGTCCCTGACAGTAGCTAGGTCAGTCTCTCAATCTGCTTTTTTAATAAAAGCCTGCATTTTATTGAAAACAGAAAGGGAACATTTCATTTAATATTTTCATTTTAAAATGTAAAAAAAAAACTTGTTTCTTCATTATCTTGCTAAATCTGTGACAGTTGTTTCAGGTTTCTATGATGTAAAAATGTCATAATTTTTCATGGAAAAAAAAAAAATTTACTTTGTCTAATTTGTATCATTTGCCCAGAAGAAAAAAAAAAAAAAAAAAGGTCAGAATTTAAACCAGAGCAATTCAGCAATTTCTAATCACCATTTAAAAGTTATGAGGGGGATGAGTGTGGGACTTCAAGACATTGCCTCTTGCTCTGTTACAGGGTGACATTATCTCTTGTGCGGGATCCTACCTGTACCTGTGGACAGTCAATGGCCAGCTTCTTGCAAGCATCAGCACTGCCTGCAGCCCCAGCTGCCACATTGTTTGCTGCTGCTTTGCTGAAGTGATGGACTGGGACACACGCAGCATCATCATCACAGGAAGCACAGATGGAGTGGTGAGGGTAGGTGGATAGGAGAGGGGAAAAGGAATCCTGATTCATTGTAGACCAGAGCTGGAGTTATTTTATTCTAAATGGAGGGGCAGAGCTACGAAAAGCCCATGCCACTTTCTTTACAGTGCAGCAGAGGGCAGAAAATTAAAATCAGAGTAAAATATTTGCTTCCTATCAACTTTAATCCTCCTGGAAGGAGGAATTCTTGCCATTCGGGGAGAATTTTAAAAATGTGCTGTCCATTCTGGGGTGATTCTGAAAGTAAAAATTCCTCAGAAATGTGAGAGTTCACAGCTCAGTATATTAAGTCCTACTTTTCTCATGAGTAGAAATTCACTGCTGATTCTGCCTCCAGTATGGTGGGTGAACGTCCTGGGTTACTGGGATTTTTGATAGTGTGTCAGCCTTGCAACCCCACCAGCTCCCTGCATACATTCCTGCAGTGTGACACCTGCAGCTTAGTGACAGAGAGGGGGACAACTGCCAAATTCTGTTCTGTGTTAGAAGTCCTTCTTGCTGGGAAGTAGGAGCTGAATCCTTCTCTTGTTGTTACAATCCACGCTTTTTCCATTTTTACCCCCTCACTGGCACAGCTGTGGAAGACCTCATACAGCAATGCCCCAGAGCAAGGTGCTGGACCGAGAGTGCAGAGTGGCGCGACAGAAGAGCCGGGCAGCACAGGTATGACCTCAGGGTGGGCTGTGAACTTCAGCGTGACCCAGTGCTGCAAGCCTTGTCTGGTTGTAAGCAAGAAGAGGGGGTGTGAGCACAGTGCTGTGAAGGGGAGATGGCCTGGGCAACTGGTGCAATCTTACTGTGACCAGCAACAGTGGTGGGTGGCAAGTGGCCCACCTTGGAGACAGAGAGCACACCTGAGCCAGCCATCTCATGGGCACACCTGGAAGCTGTCCAGAAGCTGAAGGCATTTTCACAGGCTCTCCTGTGAGTTCTGTCAACCTCAGAAGACCGACCACCTTTCTGCATGAACCTATGAAACCAATGGCTGGAAATAGTCCTGGCTCCAGAAAGTCCACTGCCTTGGCACCTCTGCTGATGGCCTGTACTAAAGTATCCTGGCATCACATCAGAGTGGGCAGTGCCAGATCCTGCTCTGGCATGGAACAGAGAAGTTTGTTGTCTTTGCTACCTTAAAAGAAGTCAGAGGTCCTTCAAACTGGTGGGAAGCCAGTAGCAGGCCCTAGTGCTTGGAGCTGTTTATTCAAGGCTGTGTGCAGCTGAAGCTGATACCATGGAGTTCTCACAGAGCTGAGGTTAATAAGATCATGGGACTGTGGTGCTGACTGGTACTAAAAACAACTCAAGCTCACTTCTCTGTTCTAACAAATACAGGAGCTGAAACCTGTCAGAAAGCTTTAAAGGCACATCCTAAATAGCTCAGCTTTCTTCTTTTCCCAGCGCTTTTCTAAGAGAAAGGAACTGTGGTGTTATTATGTATAATTTACTCCACTTATTTGCTGTGGTCCTCATTACAGACATTCTCTATTACTTCAATTTTAGGCACACAATTTGCATAAATGTAGAGCTATAGATGTAACATCTGCAAAAAAAAAAAAGATATTATACAGTAATTGGGCATTACCACAGAGATCTTCAAAAGTGCTGTTCATGGAACTTGGCATCAAAATTACTTAGATTGCTACATGAAATATTTCCAGGATGCCTCTGTATGTTTAATAGCCTAACCAGATGCTTTTGTCATGCCTCAGAGTAGCCAGAGCCAGATGGCTAGGGAAGGTGTAAGAACACCTGAGATGCCAGATGTGAGATAGTCTGGCTGTGGTAACTTCATATTTTTTTTTGTTCTCTTCTCTGATCAAAGATTGCTTTGTCCATAAGTCGGAGCAAAAGACTTAAAATTCTTTTCAATTTTAAGTAAAATACCCAGTGGTATTCTGTAGTCATTTTGTGGATTCTCTTTATCTATAGAAAAGTGTCCTTTGATTTAAGAATTTCTGAAGTTCTTGTCTATAACTTCCTATGGCAGGTCTTTCCAGGCATAATTGCATATGAATGTTTTGAACAGACTCATATATTTTAGCTATTTCTAAAATGTGTATCTTAAGCAGTTTTCTAAATGAGGACTTAAAAGCCGTCCGTGGGAGCACAGCAGAACACTCTTGTGGCTTTTTCCAAGAGCGCCATAAAAGATTTGTGCCCACCCCAGGTACCTGCTGATGTGTAGACAGCACCTGTTTGCACATGAACATAAGGCTCTATGCTTTCAGGTGCATATGGGAAGAGCATTCTTTAATAAAGAGTTGAGAGCTGTAATCAAAGCAGGGTCATACTCCCTTAACCTATTCAGATGACTTCAGAATTATTTCAAATGACCAAATATTCCCTCACCTCATTCTGTGCATTAAAGAAAATAAAATTAATACAAAACACAGTCATTAAAAAGACCAGAGTATCTGTGATTGAGTTATGTTGTTAGGGGTGTGTGTGTATGTGAAATGTCCGCAGCATTTAATTATTGGTTCTGTTATGAGCAGATTTAGATAAGTTGATAATACCAGGGCTTTATGTAATTTCTTTTTACTAGGCAATTATGGGCTGTATTATATCCTGGCAGCAAAGTATTGTGGGGCATCTTATTAAGCACAGAGCCAGTGAAAACTGATGAACAATTTTGCTGAACTAGGCATGCAATTTAGAAAGCAATAATACACAAATCCAATTTAGCACACAATTGATACAGCCGCACGTCAGCACATGTAACTATCATAGCCACAAATTAAATTGGGATGGGCCTATTTTGCTACAGCACAGGCCAAGATTAAATATATTTGTTCTCAACTTAACAACTTGCTGACCGTAAATAATAACAATCCCATCCATGCTGCCCCCCTAGACGCTTTCTAAATATTTATTTTTAAACCACACAACAGGTAACAAGTGTGGAAAACAGCTTGTTCTCTGTCGGGAACTGAATCCCAGCGTTGCCCTGACTGGCAAGGCGAGCAGGACAAGCCCGGCGGTGACAGCGCTGGCCGTGTCCAGGTAGGGCCATTGCCGGCGCTGCCCGGCATGGGGGTCCTGGGGCTGGGCTCCTGCTGTTTGTTCAGTTTGGGGCGTTTGAGAGCTCAGCCAGACCTCTTGTAGCCAAATTTCACTTCAGAGCAGTTAGTGTGATGTTGATGTGCATTGAAAGGGGGAACATTTGGGGTGAGGGTTAGTTTCACTAATGTTGGTGGCACTGCACGCAGCAGGAATTTCATTGGCTGAAGCCAGGACATCGTGCTAACAAGTCTGAATTGTGAATCTGGACAGCAGATTATTTAACATCCATAGAATCTCAGAGAAGGGTAAGAGCTGCTGATCAGGTTAAGTTGTCCCCAGCTCACCCACTGAAATCCAGGAAATTTTGGACCCAATTCTAAGCTCAGCCTTTGAAGTATCAAACTTTTTCATTTGTATCAAAATCTTTGTCTTTTTCTTTCTTTCTCAAGAAATTCCTCCAAGATCCTAGTTGGTGATGACTGGGGAAGACTCTGCTGCTGGACTGTGGATGGGTAGGAAGAAATAGCCAAGATTTCTTGTTTTTTTCAACCTTTTGGATGGAGAGAAAATTTACCCTTCAGAGCATGAGAGAATCAGAGCAACTGGAAGCCTCTTGTTGGGGACTGAATCTTAAGGGAGTTGGACTGACCCTGCAGTCAAGAACAATTTAAATTAGACAATGGACCCCAAAGTTGTGAGAGAAACTGACAAATATGCACATAAACAATGAGATTTTTGTAGTATTTGTCTTGAGAAAACCTTTTTATTTAAAATGTTATTTTAGATACAGAATTTGACATTGTATTTCACAAATATTATCTAGCAAATAAAACTGCCTTGATTATTCCAAGTAGCAGTGTAGCTTAATAATAACATATTGTATTTTTACTTTTATTTTTTTTATTTTATTTTTCATGAGATAAAAAATAGTGGGGCTTCAAACAGGTGAGTATGTTCCAGTATTTTTATTCTTCTCTGACATGCAAAAATATTAATATCTCCATTATTAGTCATCCCTCCTCCTTGAATGTGCATAAAAATGTATGCATGCCTTTTGAAAAGCTATTTTGCTTGCAAAGGGAAGTTTAGAATTCCCAGCCTGGTGCTGGTGTCTTTATCCAGCCCCACTGTGAAATATTTGTTATCATGCAATGTTTCCTATCTCTGACTTTTTTTTATTATAAGGCAGGCAAAATATATGGAATAGGTGAGGAGAAAGATCTGATATATTCATTCAATATATATATATATTCATTCCTTTTCCTCCTTTTCTGTCTTCTTTCTAACTTTATCTTAATACTTTCTGGAAGTTCAGTATAACAGACATACTTCAGGATTTACCCCCACAATCTCCCTTTATGGTAAAAGTGAGTATTTGTAGTAAATGAAGGCTGAGACTATAATATAATAAATTAAAGTGCCATTTTTGTCCCTAGTGGAGATGGGAAAGTTGAAAAATTTAACATTTTAGCATAATTGAAAAGAACTAAACTGATAACTCCCTCTCCCTTCTGCTCCTTCTTGACCTGGTGAAGATATTCAATATCTTCCCTTACATACAGAAGGGCTGAGCAGCATCCTGAGCACACACAGAGGATCAGAGATGTGCCATGAAGAGCACAAAGCACATTATGGACATGAAGGCTCTTTCGTTCATACCACCAAACACATCTTTGAGCAGGCAGTTCCCTGATTTCCAGTGCATTGAGATTGGGTAGCACTGCAGGAGTCAAGCCCCATGTGTGCTGCATATGAGGAACTGCTGTATGCCAAACTCTTGGTGCCAGAGACTTGCTAGCATCATTAGAAAGAATCTGGAGTAGAACACAGGTTTTTTTTTTACCAGACTTCTTTTAATTACATGATCAACTTTCTTCTTCCTATAGGACTCTGCTTAGCTAATGACTCTTCTTTTGAATTATGTTGCTGAATGAGCAAATCCTCCTGTAGCAAACAGCCTCCTTTCCTACAGAGTGCTGAGGCATGTTCCCACCATAACCTCCCCATGGTTCGGCCTGATCTCCATAGTGAGTGAGGTAATTGCCTGTGGAAAATGCAGTAATGAGATGTAAGCTCATGATGCAGGCATACAAGAATGTCTGCATTACATCTACAGAGATGACCTGCCTGGTCTTCCTTTCTGACCTCCAAGTGTATGACTTGATGAGTCAAATACTAATCTTCCAGTGCTCAGGGAAACACACTGACAGCAGGCCAAGACACGCCAATATTCAAATCAAATTGTGGAGCAAAGGTGAACTGTACCTATCTTTATTTTTCCCGAGGACTGGGGAAAGGTCAATTGTCAACAAAAGTGTATTGCTTCTTTCCTCTTCCTTTGGCACATTACTTAGAAATAAGCTGTGATTTGGATATCTGGACAGCAAGACTTGGATTCCTGTCAACTGCAAATGCACTTTTACTGAACCATGGTGAAGGTGATTAAGTGCTGTGAAAGAAGGTCACTACCTGTGTTTTCATTTACCTGGTAAGCATCCTGAATAGCTTGCAAATTGCCTCCTCCTTCAGCCTTTTCATGCAGCCTGTCTTTGCCAAGAGCAGATGCTCCCTGTTCTAGAGCTGGCCGTGGCACTCACTCTGCAGCCTGGGTAGCTGCACTAATTGGCTCCAATACTCTACACATCAACCTGGCTTTGTTTGGAAAGAGACCAGCTGCAGGTTGGCCATGCATGGATTTGACAGGCTCATCTCCTTGTGCCTAACATCATTTCTCTTGAATCTTCAATAGCTGCTTCAGCAACATCTGTTTTGAATCACAGAGAACAGGTCCAGAGTGTGCAAGTGTGAATGAAAGTCAGCACGTTAAATGTTTTCTCAAGTCAAGCTTCTTCTCATCTTCAAGGAGCTGTAATTTGGGAGAATATAAGGGGCAGATGAATAGAAGTGGGTTGCAATTTCATCCTTCAGCCAGTGTGTGACAGGGTGGAGTGCTACCAGGCCATTTTTCTACAGGCAAGTCTCCAGGAGAGGAAGTTTTTGCTCAGAATTTGTAATAAGTGGTTGAAGGATCACCTGAAACCAACCCTCTTGCAACCACCTGTTTTTAATATTTGGTCTCCTGCATATTTGGAAAATTATCAATGTCCATGAAAATGTCCAGGAAATTCCATCAGCTCTAAATGTGGAGGTGGCTTTGCCTGATACACAGACAAGACTTGGTGCTATGTCAGGGACAACAGTGAATTATGAATACCCTGATGTGACACATGCTTGGGATTTAGGGGTAGCAGATCTAGAATATGCTTGAAAAATGTAGTATAGCAATTCCACAGCAAATACTTTTAACACAACTCCATTTTTACTGTAAGTGGAACGGTGTGAACATCAACAGAGTGTTGTAATTATCTCAGAACCAACTTTTGCACAGGATAAGTAGATCAGGGTGAGAATTATCCTTAGAAGAAATCCAATGCCATTAGGATAAAAAATGCAGAAACAAGTTTTAACTCTGCCCTATAGGGAAATGAAGAAGAGAAATGTGGAACAACCAAACCTTTATGTGACTTTAAAAACCAGTTTAATCTAATTGAGTACCATAAACCCTAAAATGCCTTAATTACACTTATTTGGTTGTTACACAGGCTATCTTATTTCTTTGTTCAGCAACAGAAGTCTTATACGTATTACACTGAGCATTAAGTAGAGTCGCATCTCTAGCATTCTGTGAACTGGTTAATACTCATGAAATAATATTTGCCTGTGCACTGCAAGGCCTTTGCATCCTCAAAAAAGAGAATTTACTTGAACCTATTTTGAGAAATCTATGTGAGGCAATCTGTAATTCCCACAGGAAAATTTTCCCTGTGGTTGTCACTATGTGCTACTCTTTCTCAGGGACAGGGTCGTTTCCACAGCCAACTATCGTGGCCTGTAGGACTGTGCCCCCCGACCCCTCCACCATCCCCGAGGGGCAATGCACCCTTCCCACAAGTTGTGAGCACCCTCAGCCTAACATGAGGGATGCTTGCCCTCCTTTGGTCCACTGGACAGGGCCTGCAGGGAAGTTCTCCTCAGGGAAGTGCTCCTCTGGATGTTAGAGGGTTATCACTTCCTCCCCCCAAGAGCCACCGGAGAAAAACCAGTCTGCTGCACTCGGAGGCAGCTGATGGCCAGAACTTCTTGAATAAAATCCATAGTTCGTCTGTGGAGTCCGTTCACAGGGCCCCACATTGGGCGCCAGCTATCGCATCCCGCTGGAGCTGATCTGGCTCTATCACTGGGGCCTGCACAGGAGTGGGTCACACCCCAGAGCAGGATGACCCCAGGTGTGACTAGAGCACTTGCTCTACGGCTCTTTGGCTGTCAGTCTGCGCTCTGAGGAGACAAGGACGAGAGGGAGGTCTTTGGGATAATAGAGGATTTATTGCTCTGGGGAATCTTGGGGGCAAAAGACAGAAAATGTGAGCGTGCAACAACTGAAATAGGGAGGCGGTTCAAAGGGAGGGTACAAAGTATCAGCTAATCAGAGATGTCCTGGGGAGGATAAAGGGCAGGGTTCACAAAATCATCGTCCAATGAGGGAGGAGGGAGGAAATTTGGTCACATGGACTAAGCAAATGTTGAAATTTAGGGGATTTCCAAAGTAGAATTCCGAGCATGTGGTGGGCATAAGGTGGGATTGACAGGGGACTCAGCGTAGATTGACAACATGGGGTGGTGGGAGGGTCTGGGCAGAGTGACAATTTGGACCAAACATCAACTTGGCAATAACAGAATGTACCATTAACAAGAAACGCACTGCAACAACTCTTCTCAACTCGGGGATCAGTCATTGCCTTATTGGTGTCGCTGTTCAGATCTGTGCATACCAATTATTGTCATTGAAGTCAGCCAGGCTGATGGGGGAGTGTGAGAGTCTACCAGGCTGGTGTAATTCCTGTGGAGGAATGCTAACCCTCTCTATAATTTTTTCCTGACTGACAGTTCATCATCAGAGCTCTACCCAAGTGTCAGGAGGTTCATGAAAATTTGCCACATGAAATTTTTTAAAGGGCTCATTTGAAAGGGCTCACCCTTATTCCCTGCACTGGGGTTAAATGTCTTATGGCAATGTGGTACCCAGAACCAGGCAGTCTGCAGCAGTACAGTGGAATATTAGTGACCATAATATTTTCTGTAATGAATACTGAGCAAATGTAGCCATTTTGATGGGGACAGTGGTGCCTCTGTTCAGCAATCACTTTTCATATTCAGGTGTTGCAACTCTGCATGTGGAGGCTGTCATGAGGGCAACCGCAGCATGGGAACTTTCCTTGTTGCAGGTCAGAAATTGTCTCCTTGTTCAGTTTGGACACCAGGCCCTCAGGACTTTGTTTCTCCCTTGCACATATGTTCTCTGGCCACACAGGACAGCAAAAACTCCTGTTCCCATATCTACTCCAGTTTTGGTGGGATGCTTTGCTCTCCTGAGGGGAGCACATGAAGTAAGCCACAGGACTGAATAGTGGGAGTGCTCTTTGGCCCCTCCAGTGCTCATTCCATTCTCTACCATCTCCTGGGTGGCATCTCCAGCAGAAAAGTGGTGGTAAGTTAAATCTGCTCAGCTAATGTCCATGTCTTTATACACCTTATTTTACTGATGGTGCTGGACTGACCAAACTCAAATGCAGTCAAAGTGCAGTCATTTAAATTCCCACCTTTGGCTGACACAATTGCAGAGTACCAGACCTAGTAAGCAAGCAAGAATGCATATCTTTGTGTGACAGTGGGACTGTGGATGTTGCAAACAAGGAATTCCAGTAGTTATGGCAATAACCGGAGCTGCTGCCAGACTGTGAGATTATTTGGTTGGAAAGGTGAAATCCTGATTTGCTCCAAATCCTTTGTCTGCATGGCAGGCTGGCTTCAGCCAGTGTTTGTTGGTGTATGATGTGTAAGGACTCGTTTGCCACCGTGTTGTGCAGCAGCCTGGGGTGTTCATGGGGGAAACTCTGGGCTCTTCAGAGCCTGATTATGAGCTGAATATATACTCCATATCTGGGCTGTATATTTACAGGCCCTTCTCTGCGCCCGTGCTGAGGCTGTGATAAGTGGGAGGAGGCCCACTAGAAATCTACTGAAGCAGGTCTAATTGAACCAAATAGACCAGCTCAGTAGAGTAGAAAATAGTCCTTATATATCTACCCGAAGAAGATAATGACCTTTTAAATAACAGAAGCAATTTTATTTCAATACCCCAATTACTCTGAACTCTCAAATGTCAAAGTGCCAAGCACTTTCAAAATAACTTAATTTAGACATTTATAGCACTTAGACACTGCTAGTTTCTTATCTAACCTAATTATGGGTTGTACAGGAAATTGCAAAGCATCCCAATTAGTGTTATTTTTTATAGTGATACATAGGAGTGGCCTTTGCCATTTGCTGTAATCGTGTGCATGGTGATTTACTAATTTTGGCTTTTGTGTTAGTTCCTCTTCTATCCTCTGATTGCTCTTTGAGAGCAAGCAAGGAGGAAGCAGAGGTAGAAGTGAGAATAGCTATGTTTGCCTTAGGGATTTGAAGGGTATATTTTCCTCTGAAAGCAGAGTACAGTTGCAAAGCAGGACCATTTAAGATGAAGAGGTGCCATGTAGAAAATAACAGCTGAATAGTAAAATTGTTGACTTTCCTCTGAGCTGAGAACTTAGGCCACAATTCTTGACTTTTCTTATGCAATGTTCATCGAGATTTAATAATGTCAGATCACATCATTGGAGAAAGAAAAACATTTAGCATCTACACATCTATAAGTATCAAAGCAACCCACTGAAAGACTACAGATAAGAAAATTTCACTGAGTGTAATATGCCTTAGTGTGAGAAATGCAGAATAAATGGATTTAGCTCCTTTTAAGAGGAACTGCAAGGCCAAATTAATCTCTGGCCTAGCTCTGGCTTCAGCCCCGAAGTACTAGTTCAGGGGAAAGAGATGTGTAACGTGCTTAACTGGTTGCCTGAAAAATCCCTTCACAGACAGCACTGAGCAGTTTTCACTCTAGTTCCAAAGCACAGCAGGCAGAATCAGAGGTGGAGAAGTGGTGCAGCACCACTGAGCAGTATTCAGTGACTTCTTATTTTCTTTTATGGTAAGGGGAGAACATGCATCCAGTCACTGTTTGAATGTGACAGCTGTTGCCCATCCCCATGCGTTTTTTTGCCCTGTGTATTTTATGTGGTCTTGTTCTGTGTGGTGCTTCTCCACCCTCCCCAGTGTCAGGAGAGAATTTGTCTTAGCAGTCAGAGAAGTTCCTGCAGGCTTCCTTATTCCTCAGGATAATCCAAAAGTGTCAGTGGCTAATTTCTCAAGGAAAGATGTGGGGTTGTGGGTAGTTAGTTCAGCTGTTAATTGTGCTCATGACACCAGCCTGGAACAGGAAGGCAAAAGCTCCAAAGCTGATCTTGTCTTGTCACAGCTCTGCGTACAGAGCCCTAAAGCACTCTTGTGTTCTCATTCACTTCCTTACTGCAAAATATTGCTATAGACAAACAGGATTTTAACAAAGCTTAACTCAAATTAAATCCATAAAAAAAAAAAAAGCTTGTGTTTGACCAAACCAGTCCTTTTCCCCTAACTTTTTCCCTAGCCAGGACCACAACCCAAGTGAGATTGCCTAGGGCCTCTGTGGACATCACCTCCTACTTCCCTGGTGTACTTCCCAGATCCTCACAGCATGGAAAATACAGCCACAGTTACTGTCCCTGTAGTGTACTAAAATGAAAACCTGAGCAGGTCTCAGCAGGAGGTTCACAAGGGGCTCCCAGAACATTTCTGACCATAGTAGAGGAAGACTGAAAAGCCCTTTGTGGGGTTTGGAAACAGCCCAGCAATGCTGGTAAGGAACAAGAGAGACACAACAGGGTGCCAAGACAGGGAGGATTCCTGAAGTACCTGTTGCTATGCAAGAGTCTTCCACTGACGTGCAGTCTTTTGATCTGCCCAACCAAGGCAGTAAAATGGAATCCAACCTGCCAGTGGAACAAAGCACGTGGAATGAGTTCATCTCCCATCAGTGCAGAAAACACAGGTGACCACTTATTATGGAGTAGAATTTAGGAATTTTATCTTTTACCCAGACAGGTTAGACTAAAGCCAAAAAGGGTTTTTGCACCTGGATGTGCACCTTTGCACACCAGAAGTGTTTTCGAGAAGCCCTCTAAAAGCAGAATTTAACCTGCAATTTAAACATTAAATGCAGTATTCTTTGGTCTGAATCCTTCCTTGCCAGCAGCGCCTGGCCAAACCCTGAATAAGGACACAAGCTTATTGAACTTTTTAATGAAGACAACCCCAAAACTGCATTACAGTTATACTAAAACAAATAATTGGCTGGCAGTTGCAAAGATAATGACATGCTGACCACACCTACCAATTAGAAAGTTGTAAAAAAGAGTAATAAAATACCTTTTCCTTGGCCTGCAGATTCAACCCCCACACAGCCTGCAACACTAATATGATTTACTCCTATTTGCTAATGGATGATTCTAGTAATAAAATTTAATGTGGAGGAACAAGGTGCATTTAACCAAAGCTGTAAACATATCTAATTCTATTTAAAGCTATAGGGTGCAGTACATTAACGTTTAACAATCTGATATTAAATTGGTGTGGAGATAATAGAGCTGTATTTGTTACGATTTCAGCACAAAGCCATGTTTTACCAATGACAACAGAAGGAGTAACCAAAATAGTGTGACTCAGCAGACTCCAACTGCTGCTTAATAAGGTACTAAGAGTCTTCATGGGAACCCCTGTCATAAAAGAACTGTGGGCCACCTTCACCTCTGCTGCTGTTTTGTTAAAGCCAGAGAGAGTTAGGCCAGGGATTAATTTGGCTTTTCAATTCCTCTTAAAAGGAGCTAAATCTATTTATTCTGTATTTCTCACACGAAAGCATATCACACTCAATGAAATTTTCTACTCTGTAGTCTTCTGGTGGGTTGCTTTGACACTTAGAGATGTGCAGTTAATTGCAAGATGATGTTTTCCTTTCCCCAGTGATATGATCTGACATTATTAAATCTTGGTGGACATTGCATAAGGAAAGATATAGGAAATGTCTGCTCAGGAAAATGGGTGATCTCCTGAGTAATATTTCTGGCCTTGTTTCACTCACCTGGTCTGTTACCTTTCAGATTCTGCTGCCATCTGAAGTCAGTTCCAAATAAAAAACATTTGAAAAGCCTGGAATTTTCTACAGAATGAAGAATTCAATTCCAAATACTGTGACTTTCTAAATGTTGTGTAAAAGATAAACACATGTCCTTCAATCTAAGAAGCAATATCCTTCTCTAGGAAGCAATAAATCCTACAGAGACTAAGACAATAAATCTTACAAAAATGGTAATTTATTCAGTTCAATTAACTATTATTTTGGGGAATTAGATATCAAACATAAACAAGAATATATAGGATATTAATACATAAAGAACAGTATTCATTAACATGCTGGGCATAAATATACAGTAGAGGATTCTTCTGAACAATGGGCACAATGGCCAGTTCTATGCAAAATAAATGTTTGTAACCAAACCTGAAAGTTTTCACAGCTAAGTAGTAAAATCGTTAGTGTTAGGATTTTAAATTCCAAAGTAGCAACTAATAAATTCTGTATTTTTCTAAGGCCTTTTGAACAGCTGTCTGAACATTACAGATGTCCTCTCTGAATAATCAGTTAAACTGGCTGTTCCAAAACTGATTCCTGAATGTTGAATCACTCATTAGCACCAGTGTGGTTTTGGTCACCGAGTTGATTGCTGTTGTCACTGAAAGGCTAACACCTGATCAGAGAACAAGGAAAGATACCATGCCCTTTTGGTGGGTGATTAAATCCTGGGATAACACAGAGGTAAAACAAACATATTTTTTGACAGCTCACAAACACAAACATTAAAAATGCAAATAATTACTAGCAAATCTGTTGATGAAAGCTGGCCTTAGTTAGGAAAGAACTGTTTTGATGAAGGAATAGAATTGGATTAGTACTGTACATAATGGTCAGCCTGATAAGCTTTTCTTTAATTCCTTTTTATAGAAGGGATTTTTATCCAATGTGGAAGATGATGACTGCATTTTATATTTACAGATCCTGGCTAGACAGTAATGGATTAGGTGTGCTGCTGAACACCTACCACTGTTCAAAAAGTTGAGAAGCAGTTTATACAAACTCACTTATTCTGGTGAACCCTTCCAAAAGGCACTGATGTGCTGTGTCACATGGCTGCCCTTTGATGCATGTCCCCATCCTTGATTGTCCCCCCATTCTCCTCTCCTGCACTCCCAATGCAGTAATGGGAATAAGGGCATGAATGTTCCTCTGATGATTCCCAGCTGTGCTCTGAGTCCTGGTAAGAAGCTGTTCTAACACTAAAAGGGTGTGACCTGTAAAGGAAGAAGTTACTTGGACCACCTTAGTTATGACTCCAGAACCCAAGGAGTGCTACTCCAAAACCCACATCAAATACTGCTGAATGAGCAGTCTGTCACGGGGCTCCCTCACAGATCTGGAGAAGACCTGGCACATGCCAAGTGTTGGCCCTCCACAACCTGATGGTGACCTCAAGAGCCCATGCTTTTACATCTCCATGAACTGCACAGCTACTCAAGGGTTAAAGCTTCCCAAGATTGGAAAGATGTTGGATATCTTCCTGAGCTTTGGGGAAATTCAGGCATTGAACATACATGAGCTTGAAAACATCAGTCCAGCTTTTCTTCATGACTGAAATGCCCGGGATGGCACAGAACAGCTCGTTTTCCATGAATTTCTATCAAAGGAAAAGGAAGAATGCCTTCTCAGTTATCGAGAGGTAAAGAAGGAGGAATGTTATTTTGTGTCCTCACATTAGGCTCATTTCCCTATCTCCTTTGGTCTTTCCAAAGAAATAACACCAAAGTCAGCAGGGCTTTAAAGAGCCTGTTCCATATGAAGGAGAAGCTGTGTAATTTTTCCCTCTAGATCAGCAGCTCATTAGTGCAGGCTATAAGAGGAAACCTTTGAAGATTTGTAAACACCAAACTAAACCAAGACCAAATAGCAGTGTCCTGGTTCTCCCAGTTTTTCAGTCACTATCAAGTTTTCCCTATTCCCAGTCAGAATTTTAAAAAATCAAATCCTGGGAGATGTTCCCAAGCTATGAATATTCTTCCTTAAATCTTGGGGGTTTAACTACAAATGTAACCTGTAGATTATTTTGAAATATTTTATTTCAAACACCATACTAAAAATAACGTAAGATTTTTAAGACAATGTCATTTAGAAAGGGGAATTTGAAAACATAGAGCACAAACTTTTTAAACTATTTCTGGAGAAGGGGAAAAAAACCCCAGAAAAAGTCATTTTAGCTTTTCCTTGGGTGTAGAAAAAAAGTCTCAGCTTTATTGGGTTAATATTTTTCTGATGGGACAAAGTGCATTAAAGTGGCCCTTTTTCTGGTCAGCAGTCTTTTCCTTCAGTAGCAGGTTGATGGGCATGGGTCCTGCTGTCAGTCCTCCTGAGGCTTGCTAAGATACTGACATTTACAGCTGAACTCATCATTAAAGATGTAATAATGTTTAGTGCTAAAAATGCCCCAGGTGGAACTTCAGTCCACTTCCAACAGGGGCATAGGACACTACAGAGGGTATCTCTGGGATGTCACTTGTTCACCATCTGCTTTTTCTATGATTACTTTCAACTACATTGTGTTTAAAAGTCTCATAGAAAAATAGAAGTGCATGAATGGAAATAAAAAAATAAGGACATTTGTATGATTTTTATAAATAAACAGCACAGCAAGAATTAAATAGAACCCAGACAAAGGGCATTTATACAGTCATGAACTATTACAACTTGTTCTCCTCAAAGAGTATCTGTGCGTAGACTGTCATACTGGAAATGCCTTTGGCTTCCTGAATTGGCTTCATCAGTTCAAGTTCAGCATATGTTAAATTCTCCTCTGCAATTTTTGGCTGAAAAACAGAACCAACAAATTCATTATAATGTCGTTTCCACTGAATGTAGATATTTTATAACACTGGGCATAGTTCTTCTCCCACCCATTCTAATTCTACTGTGTTGTTAATCAGTTTACTCTGCATTAGAGCTAGTTCATAGAAAATGAAATAAAAATAATATTAAAAATAGGAAACAGGGCTATGTAGGATTTGCAGGTTTACTTCTAATGTCATTAACACAGAACATTTCAACAATTCAAACATTACAGCTTTGAAAGATGTGTGTTAGCAAAATGTTGATCCTCCTTAATACTAAATTTCCCAATTTTATTTATTGCAGATTTCACAGTTTGAGAGATATATGCCAGATTTGCTTTCCAGCTGTAAACCTTGGACCAGTTACATCTCTAATCACAGCCACTCACAGAGCCTCTCAGTATACTTCTTAACAGAACCAAAAAATGTTAAAAATACACAGAAGGCAGAAAAAACTGGATAGAATTACTGCCGTTCCAGTGGAATTTTACCACTTTTGCCAAGCTATAGATGAGTTCAGAGTTTGGAACAAAGGCCATACCACCAAAACTATCTGCTGTATTACAGTGATTGAATTTGACTTAAAATGATAAAATTTACTGAACAAATTTCTCATGTGTGGAAGAAGCTGCCTAGTACTATTGGTAGCTTCATCCAGACTCAGGTGGCTTGGAAAAGGAAAATCTTGCGTTATGCTCCCGTGGGTGTTCTGCTCACAGTTGGGAGTGGGTTGTTCATGCCTAATTCACCTCAGAAAATGTAGCACCAAATAAGAGTTGCTGTGGAATTGTGAGATCATCAGTACTTGAAATGGATTTCAGTTCATCTATAGAAAACTGAGGTCTGTGCTCCCTGAAAAAGGGTGAAGTTCTACAGCCCTAAGTGAAGAACTGTAGAATTTGTTCTTTATCTTCTAGAGTACAGTGTTCTACCAATAACTGGTGTCCTCAAGTTGAAGTGCAGAAGATAATTAAAAAACCAGAACATTTCAGCCATGCAAATTTTTGCAGTCACAAGAAGTAACCATGAAAAGGTTGCATCTCTCAGACTAAGAAATACTCTGGCAGTTGTAAACTTAAAACCAGCTCAAAGTTCATAAACCAAGATTTTCCACACAGTGCTTAAATGTTGGGAAGAAATTGTAAGTATTTGCCAAGGCCAGAAGTTTCACATTTCATTTATTGCATATTTATTTCTGTTCTAACACAAAACAGTCCTGTTTCCTTGAAATGTGAATAATTATTGTATTGCCTTCTGCCTAAAAAGATAAGCATCTAATACGCTCTGAAATCAGTCCCTGGGCTCTCCTGCTTCCTGTCCTTTGCACTGCCCTGGAATCCTCTCCTTTGGCCTTGACAATTGCTCACACTCAGCAATTCAGGTTGTTTCCATCAGGGTGAGAAAGTTTACACTTTTCCAGCATTAATTTGATCTTATTTCTTCTCTGCAGATCAAATCTTCAAAAATTTGTGCAGCTGCTGCTGCAAGAGGTGTCACTGAAGTCAGCTGATCTGTGCAATGTGAGCACAAGCCCTGTGCAGGGCACTGCCTGCAGGACTGGCACCTTTGCATTTCACTGTTCACACTGTCTTCCCTCCCTCCCTCCCCCACTTCCACGTGTTGCCCTGTTTGATCTCAACTTCTGCTCCTCATTCACTATCAAATGCTCTGCTGTTGACAACACAGAAAATTTCCTGCTTTCACTGAATTCTCTGGTGTAATGACAGAAGGAATTCCTGTGGATCCGGATGGATCTTGACTGTAAGATAAATCAAACAACATATTTTCTTTGTTAATATATTAAAGCTGAACTCAACCACAGTGCTTAGAAAGACATCTCTCCTACCCTGACCTTGGCTTAAAGACTTAGAAAAAAACTCTTGGTCAACTGCTGTGCTGCCTGAAAAATTTTCATATTGCCCTTTTCTTTCTATCCTGAAAGTATTAGCATCAGTTTCTAGGCACTTCAGTTGTTTTTTGCTTTTATGTTAAGATTCCTTTTGAGATTTCAAATGATATGTGCCTGTCTATTCAGTTATGTAGTACAGAAGCTAAAAACAGGAGTTCCATTGAGAGTGGACACCACAGTAACATCAACAAATGCTGAAGATTTTCTTTTCAGTGGTTGACAGTGTATTGATTCTCTGAAGGTATTGGGAATTTTGCTGCCAGTTTTAGACCTTCAATGCATATTGATACAGTGCATGTGAAAAGCCTCCTAAAATAAATCTGATAAAACTTTTGAAACAAAGCTGTTGATCACTGCCAGAGAAAAACTCTACACTTTCTAAGTCTGATGCAGAACATCTGTTGAGGCAGAAATATTTTCATTGTTCTGTAGGTACCAGTTGTTTAGGACAAGCTAAATCTGTATATGTTTTCCCCTTTATTGTTTAATCATATTTTTTACGTTTCCATTTAGAAAATGCCGCATGTCCTAAAATAGCCACCCTAATGCCCAGCTCATGTAAATTTTAGAAGTAAGATTTATGAAATCATATTGTCCAGGTGTTTTATTATATTATCTCAAAATTGCATTGTTTTCTAGTGTAGATTATCTCTTTATTCTTACCTTATTCTATTATGTTTGGATATGAAAAATAACACTAGATTCCCCAAAACAAGTCATTGGGCAGTAGTGGCTGATGTGTTGCTTTCATACATTTTTATGATGTTCCTATAGTAAACATAATTTAATAAAGCCAAAACACACTAAATAAATAATTGCATCTAGAAAAGCAATAAAACGAAATAAAATTAGTACTTTCATAAGTGGAAAAGGTACTTCAATTACTGCTACAAGCAACAGCACACCATAAAATGTGTAGAATAATTTCCCTTATGCATATTTCTAGTATGTAATAATTTGATTGAAAATATGAGGAAACACACAGGAGGTTCAAAATTGTGAAAGGTATACAGTTTTCAGCAAAAGATGTGTAATAACAGTGCATGGGAGCCAACAGTACTTTAAGTACCTGTGGTAGCCAGGTTTTTATTCCATACACTCTTCTGCACTTCATTTATCAACCACATGTTTAATTTAATTTTGCTGGTTTGTTTGTCCAAGACCAACTTTTTTGAGCAGACAGGGGAGAAAAAAAAAACAAAACTAATTCTACAATTTCATCTCTCATTAGGATTGGATATTGTCTTGGCAGTGTTGACCTGGAACCGTGCCACCAGCTCCTTTCTGGAGCAATGGTGTGACTTTAATAACTGATGTTATAGGTGGGATGGAGGGTAGGGCAGAAGAGGAAGAGACAATGAATGACTGGCCAGTCACCCTTCTCTTTCTGTCCTGACTCTTCCTCTAGGAGGTCACTGGGATTTCTAGGGCTACAACATCCTCTTCTAAAAAATTGCATCAATTGTTCTAAAATAATATTGAATGACTTCTTCAAGTAGGATTCTATTTGAATGTGGCTTTCCTAGATACAGTATTTATCTTGTATGTCTGTTTTCTCATCTTGGGATCATACACTTTGCCAAAATATAAATTAGGAAGAGTTATGATTTTCCAGTGTATCTTCTGGCAAATGCAAAACGATTCCTCTTCCAGGTTTCTTCCAGTTTTAGTTTATTCCAGTCACAGGGTTTCCCATGGGCAACTACTCAAAAGAGTTCAGTTATAGGAACATTTTTCTTATTAAACAATCTGCAAGGTCTATCATGTGAATATGTAAAAGAAACTAAAGTATATGTATATATAGTTTTGTTTTAATTGGGTTCGTCTAGTACATAAATGTCTTAAAAATTAACCAGAAGCGTTGGGGTTTTAATCAAAATTATTCTGAATTTTATGTCATAATTACCAGGAATGTCAATTTTGCTCCTGCCAGGCTTAGCTAGTTTGTTTCTTTGCAGCCTCAAGAATGTTTACTGTGAGCAATGTCAGACTTGAAAGTTCTTGAAGTTTTAACTAAGACTACTATTATCCAAATTTGTAATGAGGTATAAAGAAAACAAGCAGATAATAACCTCATAAATTTAACTTCTTTGGAAAAGCAACTGATGCCAACTTGCACTTAGAGACTGCTGCAATCTCACTGTTCCATGACAACACATGTTATCACGAAGATGCCAAACCCAGTGTGAATTTTTAGTTTACTATCAAAAATAAGCAGAAAAGGCCTATCTTGACAGTTGAAAGTGGAACTGCACCCTCACTGGCATGCCCTGCATTCATAGGTGAATGGATTAGGTCAGCAAGGATGAATCCCTGCCAATCCTGCAGATGTTTGCTGGTGTGATTGCCAGTACATGGCAAATGCCACCTGTGGCCCGGCCGTGACGGCTGTTGGGTGGACATGTGGTGCCAGGGAACGCTGCAGAAAGTGCAAATGGGAAAGGTTCAGAGTCAAGAGGTGCTGCTAATGTTTGTTTGATCCAGTCTCTAGGAAATGCACTTCTCACCAGGATACTCCACAGCACCAAGCAAGCAGCAGCCTCGCCCACTGCCATGAAGGAGCCTGTCTTAACAAGCACACTCTGGAACTACCATTTTTTTTTTCCTCTCCCTTTCTCTTGCAAAAGCCAAACTCTTTGGCCTTTTTCCTTTAATGTTTGAGAAACATCCTGTTTTGTAGTCACAGTCGGTAAAAAGCTCCACAGAAAAATGCAGATACTGTCCAGATGGCACAGCTCAGGAGCATCCAGTGTCACTGCTGAGCACACTCCACCAGAAAGTGTCGAGACAGGGCTCCCCAGGCCAACTGGTTGGGCTGTGTTAGCACAGGAAGAGATTGTTGGCTGTCTCGGTCTGCATGCCCAGAAGGGTAGAAACTGCATGCTGAGTGCAGCCTAAGGGAAAGGGGATCTCCTCTGAGTACCTCCTTTTCAAAGCACGGTTTTAACAGCCGTGGAGGGGCTGGGATATGGCTGCCAGCTTGGCCATCACTGAAGGGTCAGGGATGGAGCTGAAAGTGAGGATGTGCTGAAGCACAGATCCAGCATGTTTGGTGGATGGGATGCAACTC